TGAGTTTTCAGCAGACTCAGGGTGATCCCCACAGAGAGGCCTGATTCCCCAGCTGCTCCCTGTGGGAGCACACTAAGGATGAGCCAGCAAGACAGGCAGTGAGACAAAAGGCATACTGGGAACTGTCACCCATAAAGACCTGGGGTAGAGGCCTTGGTACTGCTGTTGCACCTTATTTATTTATTTATTAACACACACACACACACACACACACACACAAACAACTTTTAAAAATTTGTTCTACTTAGTTATACATAACAGCAGAATGCATTTCAATTCTTTGTACAGAAATAGCACCTTTTGATACTCAAACAATGTAGAAAGCCCAGCTATAGGAATTCTGGATTTCTCTTTCTTGTGTTTCTTTTTTCACTCATTTATTAAGTTGCTGATCAGTCTAAATCATATGGCAATGTTTTCTCTTTTAAAAAAAAAATTTATTGATACTAGGAATTTAACCCAGGGGCACTTCATCACTGAGCCACATGTCCAGCCATTTTATGTCTTATTCTGAGACAAGGTCTCACTAGGCTGGCTTTGAACTTGTGATCTCCTAACTCGGCCTCCCAAGTCAGTGGGATTACAGGTATGTGCCACAGCACCAACTAGGGCAATGTTTTCAGGGAATTCTAGACATCTGAGGCTGTGGGCGGACAGCTTGAGCTGTGGACTGGGTACATCTGCTGGGTCACAGTTCTATGCCCAGGTTCAGCGCCTTGCCACATGGTCTCAACCTCCTCATCTGCAAAGTGAAGGTGAGGGTGCCGCCTACCTCCCCAGGGGCTGCGGTGAAAGCTCAAGGTGCAGTGCCTGGACACACAAAGGGCTCAGTGACGGCTCCTTTCTAATGCAGTGACCAGTAATGCAGAGGAGACTTGCTATCAACTCAGTGAGCGCTTCCTAAAGAGCTCAGTGAGGGAGACTGGCTCAAAATGTGACTGTCTTCCAAGGCTATGCTTGCAAGCCGAGTGTCCTTATAACACAGACCTTCAGGTGAATACCTTGACATGTCACGTGTATCCTTTAACCTTCTCTTTCTATGTGAAAATGGCTTGCTTAGAAATAAGTAATAATTTCCAAAGGTTTAAAAGCATAGAACAAAACTGAAAACAACTACTGTTGGAGCAAGTGGAAGACATGCTCTCTCCTGGGTACACGTCTGTCCACTTAGAAATAGAAGGCACACACAGCCTCAGGTGCATGGATACATGCCCGACCTCGATGCCCACCCACATGTATGCTCACAAGATCTTGCTGCTGCACTCTTGGAACAGTATTCTTTTTTTCCAGTACTGGGGACGAACCCAGGGGTGCTCTTTCTAGCTACATCTCCAGTTCTTTTTAATTTATTTTGAGACAGGTTCTTGATAAGTCACCCAGGCTGGCCTCTAACTTGTGATCCTCCTGCCTCATGAATCCCTGGGACTACAGGTGTGGCTCCTGCTTGGCTGGAACAATATTCTCGAGCCCCAAACTAGTAAGCATCCAAATATCCACCACTGTGGAATGGAGAAATCAACTCTGGTGTGGGCACAAATGGGGCCACACAGCCATGACAATGAAGTACAGCTACCTGAGTGACAGAGACAACCTCACCAGCTAAATGCTGAGCAAAATAAATCACAAAGAAGAAGGGTGACAGCTGAGACCTTCAACCTGAAGGCTACCCTGGGAGGGTGGACAGCGACTAGGGAGGGCAATCTGGGTGCATTTCTAGGCTGTGGCCTTCTTGGTTCCCACTGGTTACAGTGTGTGTGACCTGAGAGAGTCCACTGAGCTGTTCACTCAGCAATCCCCTCAGCATTGGTGTTTTTATGCTGCAGTAAGAAGGTAAGGAAGAGATAAAAGTTATGGCACAATTAATTTGTTAATTAAATTAATAATTTTGTTCATTCATATTAATCTAAAGAGGATTTAAGAAATTTAACATGAACTCAAAACTTTCCCTAAACTGAGATGAAACATGTTGATCCTTTTTACAGAGGCACAGATGCCTTTGTCAGGGATCGCGCTGCTCAGAAGTCTTGGTTTTGAATAGAAGCTCCCGAAGTTCTTTCTTGTGGTCTCCTGAATGCGGAATCTGACCAAGAATTAACGGAACTCAAGTGGGGACCAAATGATTTTCCATCAGAAAAGCGCTAGTACACCTTTAACAATCTGTCAACCACAAAACACAAAAATGCTAGAATACATATGATGAGAATCCTTACTGCGGTTCACGTAAATACTCCTATTGTGGGGCTTTTTTACACTTGACAACGAGCCACCTGCAGGTTGCTCTCCTCCTCCTCCATGAATCCACTCCTACGGACATGGAAAGAGGTCACGAGGACAGGTTCCTAGGGACACAGAGACTGACTGACTCAGTAAAGTCTCACCGAGTGGTTTTCCTGAGACGCCACCTAACAAGCTTGGTCCTGAAAGTCCCTTTCTTCAACTCACGAAGTCAGAACACACACACACACAGTCCAGTCAGGACGAGTGGAGGCCACCGTGCAGTGAGCGCACAGGGCGGGAAACACACTTGCCTGGCCGGTGGGTGAGGACCACCAGGCAACTGCTGTTTCTTTGTGAAAACTCTGACTGTAATAAAAACTCCACAATAGCAGCTATTTAATTATGTAAATGCCCCAGCAAGCAATTATATAAAAAAGTTTAATTTCATCAGCCATTTGGTAGCCATATTACAAATATTCAAAATGCCAAGTTCAACTCCATCTCTGCTGAAAGCAGAGCGCCCTGGGACACATGAAGGCTCAGTCACCTGTGCTCAGTGTGCACAGGCCAGCCAGTGCTCCTGGCAGGAGGTGCAGGCAAACCGAGGCGAGTGTGACGATCCCTGTCCTCAAGGAGCCTCAGTCTAGTAGGGAGGAGACATACTAGACTGTGAGCTCCTCGAGGGCAGGAAAAGTGCTCCGGTCATCTGGCCCAGTGACCAGTGCCAGGCTCGGCAGCCCTTGTGGAACAGAGCTGAACTGGGATGCAGCCCTCTGTGGTAGCACAACAAGTACAGGGACACAGGGATCCGGAGACCCAGGGTGCAGGCTGCATGGCTGAGAGGCCCGGAAGAGCCAGCGTGAGACAGTAGCTGAGAGACAGGGAGGGCCAGGCAGGCGGGGCGTCGGTTGGGGGGGGTGCAGGGGGGTACACCAGGCCAGGAGGGGGCATCTGCCAGGCTATTTGGAAGATAGGGGGATGCCGTCTGGCCATCCTGGAAGTTGGCTTGAGTGTGGCCTGCAGGCCTCTATCTGGACATGGGAGGTGGGTGCCAGTGACCCACTAGGGGTCATTCTGATCAGGGGAGGTCCCTTTCCATGGTGTTGTTTTAGGAAAACCAAGCCAGCTGTGCCAACCAGACAGGAGAGGAGTGCTCAGAGGGTAAGGCAACAGATTTCCTTCTTGGGTAACACAATGCCCAGCTGGCAATTTAAAATGTAGGTTGGAACTTATGAGAAAAGGGCAAGGCCAAAGCTAAAAAGTGGAGAGGCCCAGTCCACGAATGGCCAGATCAACGGCACATGGAATCTTCAGGAGTACTGAGGGCACAAGGGCAGTTGAGAACAGAGACCTGACCAACGCCCCTGGGAAGGATGTGGTCAGCATGTCAGTCAGTAGGGAGACACCAGGCAGGTGGGGTGATGGAACCCATACTAGAAGGGGAAATTTCAAGGACAGGCTCTGTGAAGTTCTGGGGAAAGATCAAGGAGGAACAAAAAAATCTAAGCGAAACATGAAATAAAGCATATTCAAAACCCAGCTACAGTAGCACGGAGGACATAATGAGTATGAGAACTGATTAAGATTGAAGAGTGTCTACTTGAAGAGGACTGAAGAGATGAGGGCGCTGGTGGCCCCATGGACGAAAGGTGGAGACAGCAAGTGAGGCTGGCCTGACTGCGCTCTTCCCTCAGGATGAGGCTCTATTGAGCAAGGACTGTCTGGTCACCACGAACCCACAGAACCTTGCTCAGAACACACGCATCCAGCAAACACCTGAGGACAGAAAGAAGCATCATACTCCTTCCAACAGGGCCGATCCTCCCAAAGCACTCTCCTGCAAGGATCCTTCTTCCAGTGGCTGAGCCATCTGAAGGTTGATGAAGCTTCAGGAGTGCTTGGGCACCACCAAAAAGCAAGGGCCAGATGAAGTTGCAGGGTGCCATGAACCCCGATATTTGGAATTAAAAAAAAAAATTCTGTCCCTATCAAAATATTTGGCCCCAATGCAGATTCTAATTTGATTCAGTTCAACAAACATTCATTCATAGTGCCTGGTCCTACAGTCTGTATCGGCTGAAGAAATGAGTGAGATATGGTGGTGCTTATCAGTAGCTCTGACTAAAGCTGAGGACACAGACATGAAAACAAGGACCTCCCCAGGGCAGATGGCAGGTAGACCATGCAGATGCTTCTCTGAGGGACTCAGTACACACCTAGTCCCTGTGTGACTGCCAGGGGTCTGGAAGCTACTGGAGGCCTTGGGCCTAACAGTGCCTGGCACAAAGTGGGAACCACGAAAAGGCACCTGAACCAACAGTGGTGGCAGAAGAAAGGCTACTTCTCTGGGGGACAGGGCTGCATGGGGAAGCACCCTGGATTCTGAGTAGGAGTCTGCTGTTGGCAAGGTGGGGGAGCAGGCAGTGAGCTCCCTGCACTAGTACAGGGAGGCAAAGGGGCCGAGTGGAGGAGGCTGCAGTGACAGCAGGGCTGCAGTGACAGCAGGGCCGCAGCGACCATGGGCCACCTAAGCCAGGCCAAGTCAGGAGCTCGGGGAGAGATCTGACCACAGCTGGAACTTTATTAAGATTTGAAGATATTTTTCATTAAAGGCTCTAGCAAGGTACAAAGAAATGCCAATTAAATTTAAAACTAACTGAATTTGCAGAAGAAACAGCCCAGCCTCAGATGTCCTGATAAAATGACCTTAGAATGCTATGACTGCAAAGGAGGAGAAGCAGCAAGGTCTGCCCCCGCCCAAGCCCTCTCCGCCCCACTCCTACCTGAGCTGCGCTTTAAGTTCAGTAAACCTGGGCCGCCTGCTGGGGTCATAGGCCCAGCATTTCGTCATAAGGCTGTAGAGGGTAGGAGGACAATTTGGAGGCATTGGTAATCTTTCCCCATTTTCAATTCGACCGATCACATCATTGTTCTTCACTCCTTGAAAAGGCTTCACACCATGCATCAGAATCTCCCACATACATACACCTGTGAAGTGGGAACGAAAACAGCGCAGTGAGCTCGGCAGGAAGGGCAACCCCATGTCTGGGAGTGGCTTTGCAGCGGGCACCGTGGGGCCAGCTGTGAGATCCAGGCAACACATCAAGCAGAGCAGCATTCATTACCTCCAACATATAGTGAGATCAGTGATAACCACTTGACGGGGTGTGAGTAATGCAGTGCTGAATTATTACAAAGAAAAGCCATAAAATCCCCTTGTTTTCCTCAGAGGTCTATTTCTCTGAAAATGCTGCACTTGAAAGTGACCCACCAGCTCAGGCACACTCCATGGCTCCAGACGAGAGGCTACCTGCACATCCCCACCCAACTTCAGCCCAGCCTCATTACAACTGCAGCTGCTGCCTTGAGACCTGAAAAGAAACTCCTCAAGCACAAGTCTGCAGCTTTCAGAGAACTCAGCTTTCCCTCTAAGGCACACGATAGCTTTGCTGTCTGGGCGACCCTCCAGCACACCACTCCCTTCCCTTGGCCTGGTTGAGGACTCCCATGGCTATAGCCATCTCACCCAGACCAGGCCGCACCTTAGCAATGACTGCACTCTGCCCCAGGAGGCCAGACTTTCTGTTATCGGCTCAGTGATCCTATAGACCCACCTTTCAAATCAACAAACAGGACAGCTCAACACTAAGGATGCACTGACACGTGACCAAAGGCACCTTCTGCAGCACCACACGATGGCCACCTGCACTCTGGCCGCCTAGGAGGTCGGTGCCTTGGCAGGCCACAGCACACCTTCCCTGGCATCAGCCCTATTTGCTGTCAGACCACCTCCTTTCAGCTTGTTCCTGAAGCAGTTCTAGGAGACCCTCCTGTCCCCAGGACGAGGCTGCTGTCTCAGGTCTGACTCTACCTTGGAATGCACACGGTAGGAATAATGCCCCATGCAGAGGACTTGGGATGCAAAGAAGGAAACTCCCATGCTGGCGTGAGCTAGATTCTCAAACTGAGCCACACATCGGCAACTATTGATAATTCCAGAATCTCTAACAAAAAAAATAATGTCTTGGTGCACTCTTTTAGTAGAAATTATAATCCCATTATCAGTAACAAAATTAAGAGTCACTATTTCTCGAGAACTTACATCCTTTCTTTGAAAATCACATATCATCCTTAATTCTCATAATGCCCTTACCTTTCTCTAAATACTATTTTATTAAATCAAATATGAGATGCCATTAATTATGTGACAAAAAGGGAGAAATACTGCCAGAGTGATTATGATGCAACCCTTTTTCCCACTTGGGGTCATTACTCTATTCCTACCAGAAGAGCCCTTTCAAACTCACCTGGACACAAAACAACAATGTGAACAAACACGACGCCTGTGAGCAGGCCAGCCCAAAACAGCACAAAGATGCCCCCAGGTGACACAATGGACCCCGCCCTGGAAAGGGCGAGATGTGACCATAGGTGCTGGAGGATCTGGGGCATGGCCTTCCTAGGGGGATCCTGCAGTCTAGGTTACACAGGTGCTCTTCCTTTGTCTACCTGTGGCTCCTAAATACCAATCAGGGCACCAAACGGTTGCGGAAAACCCACAGCATGGAGCCAGGAGAGCTGCATGACCTCAGCCGGCACTCTGAGCTGCTCTGATCTCATGGGACTCTCACACACAGGACTGCCATCAGGTCAGCACGTGAGGGTGACAGACAAGGGATGCCAGGAAGCGGAATGACGCAGGACAGTCGGGAGGCAGTGCCACCCATGGGAGGAAGGGCAAGTCACGCCACAGTCAGGATGAGCTGTCCAGCCACACAGTGCAGGTGGATAAGCCCACATTTACACCAGGGCTGGGAGGCACTGCGACACTCCAGAGAGAAGGACGACCACTGAAGAGGACGGGAGGGGTGGGCCAGACATGGAAGCAGCAGCTGAGGCCAGCAGGCCCCAGAGGAAGGACATCAAGGACAGCGTAGACCTCGGAAAGCAGGGCCACCGAAGGGCCCAGGACACCTGAGTGTTGAGTCTGTCACAGAGAATCATGAGATGGCTGAGGGGAGAGAAGGAAGGAAGGAGACAGACAAGGCTGCTCCCCAGGCAGAAGAGACAGCAGCAGGAGGAGCACAGAATAGCAATGGGACGTGCCACAGAAGGCAGAGCGCCACAAGGTGTGCCCAAGAGCTGTGAGCAGCACATGCTCCTCAACCACAGCCCCACGACCTGTGTGGCCAGGGAGATGCTCAGGCTCAGAAGGCCAGGCAACCCATGCTCGGGAGAGACAGTGCAAGGCCTGTTTTGCCAAGCACATGAGGCACAATTATTAAAAATACACAAAACTCCGAGAAATACTCACCAAACATCCACACGTCACTAGCTGAGGTAAAACGTCGAAAATTGATTGACTCTGGAGCCATCCATTTAATAGGCAATTTTCCTTTGGAAGCTAGAAGATTAATTTTAGAAAATAAATTTTCCCTGCAATCTGCTTGAGAACCTAGCAGAGCTGAGATTTTCACTATCAAATATAAAGCTTCATGGGGCTAGGATTGTGGCTCAGAGGTAGACTGCTTGCCTAGCATGGGCGGGATCTGGATTCGATCCTCAGTACCACATAAAAATAAAGGCCTTGTGTTGTGTCCATCTACACCTAAAAAATAAATATTAAAAAAAAGTAATAAAAAAAATAAAACTTCAAATATCCCACCTGACTCTTTAGAGAGCAATGTTCTGCTTCCTAGATGTCCTGAGTAGTTAGACTAGGGTAGGGGACATAGACCCTGGGGTCCCTCCCACTGTGGTGAGGCAGGGGCAGGGAGGAGAGTGAGTGGCAGGGCTTCGATGCTCACCAGGACACACCCACACGTGTAAGACGGGTGGGTCCTGCTAGTGCTTACCGCACACTTCACTCTCGTGGCCATGCATATGGGGCCAGTACTCCACACATATGTGATGTCTCACAAAGATCACAACCTGAAGCCCTAAGACTACTCGTCAGGAGACCTTCTGGAGGCTGCCCCACTAATAGGTGGCTCGGTTCTGCAGAGCGCCCTATGGACCCAGACTTCTGGATAGATAGGAGGGAGAATGCCAATGTGCCTACTGGGGAGACTTGAAATGTTTGCTGCTCCATGCATGTCTTTGAATGACTACAAAAGCACCTTGCGTACAAGTCTTATGGGTTACAAATTGTAGCAAATAAGTAAATACACAAATATGGCCTCTATCCTCCATTTGCATGTGAAGAGCGAGGGGCCTGAAGCTAAAGGCTCTGGGACAGCCCAGATCAACCCTGGGAGAGGCCAGGAAGCTTCCCTCCTGCAGGCAAGGTACACCATCCAGGACCATCCTTCAGCTGCTGGGCTTCCAGAGGAGCCAAAGGAGACAGGCTACAAGGTGGGAATAGGTACCTCAAATATGGCATGGAGTGAGCAGAGACAGACCAGGGTTGGGAGGAGTGGGAGGGTGGATGGTGACCAGGAACAGGCACAGACACCAAGGGCCTACGCAGGGGCCTTTGGATCCTTAGAACCCTGAGAAAAAGGAGTAGTTTGGAGAAGTCTTAATACTTAGGGGTTCTTTTTCCATTATCCAAAAATATCTACACTCATTGATCATTCTGAGGTGATATCTGCATGAATTACCAACTGCTCATTTTTATTTTTTAAAGTAGTTTTGAAATTGTAGATGGACACAATACCTTTGTTTAATTAATCAATTTATTTTTCATGTGGTGCTGAGGATTGAACCCAGTGCCTCACATGTGCCAGGCAAGTTCTCTACCACTGAGCCACAACCCCAGCTCCCCAACTGCCCATTTTAAATGCTGTTAAAGGATGCGAAATTTTGGTATTTGTATTAATTTAGAATTTAGCTCTTTATTGGAATTCTAGGACTTGGACTAGTTAATATTTGAGCTAAATATGAGATATAGTTCAAAATTTAAAAAACTGATTTTTTTAAAAAGTTAAATGACTAAATAACAAAAACAAACTTTTTTCTCAAATATCAAAAGATCATAGGTTAGTAGTCACAGGCACAGAACACAGAAAGGGTGTGGAAGAGAGTTGTCAGGAAGCTATCTGTCTGTTGCCGAAGAACCCGGGCCTCGCATGCTAGCCAAGCACTCTACCACTGAGCCAACTGGATTGAAATTTTGGGCCAATACAAATAAAAATGCAGTAACACGAGTGCATGTGCTAAGTCTTCACTTCTCTGGGATCAGTGCCCAGGAGTCCAACCACAGTGCTGAATGATGGTCACAGTTTTATTCACTGAAGGCCTGCACACGCTCCTGCGTGGCTCTAATGTTCTACATCCCCCTGAGGACCTTATTAGTGGCTGAGCTTCTCTGAATCGCTACCACCAGGTATGGGCAGTATTTGTTGTAATGATTCTGACGATGTGCAGTGTTCTCTCCCTCTGGTCTTAATCTGCATTTTCCTGATGGTTAAAGATACTGAACAAGGTCAAGGTTCATTTGCCACCTTATGTTCTCTTCAGCGAAGGTCTTCCTTTCTTTTGTTCATCTCCCAAGTACCTTCTTCATCTATCTTCCTGCTAAGGAAGTTCCTCCTGTGTGTTTGGTAAATACGTTGTCCTACCCTGTACTTTGACTTTTCATTCTCTTAACAGTCTTCGGCAGAATAAAAATTACAAATTCTAATGTGGTCCAATTTATCAATTTTTCTTCCTTTTGGTATCAAGTTAAAGGATTCTCTAGATTTATATTTTTCTTCTAAGGTTCTATGGTTTTATAAGCCCATGATCCATTTTGGATCACTCTGGACATCCTTCTCCTCTAGCACTGTTTATGGACAGGGCCATCCTTCCTTCCTCCACCAAATCCATCTGAAGCCCAAGGAAAGCACACTGGAAAATACCTTCTTATTTATTTATTTTTAAGATATTGTGTAATTGTCAATGGATCTTTATTTATTTATATGTGGTGCTGAGAACCGAACCTAGTGCCTCACACATGCTAGGCAAGCGCTCTACCACTGAGCCACAACCCCAGCCCCTGGAAAATACCTTTTTAAAGAAATATAAATACATTAAAGATTTGCAGCTCATTTTTAGTTATTGCTTTAGTTTCTTACCTTTGTAGTAAGTACTGTCTTCCATGTACCGAGATAATCCGAAGTCTCCTAATTTTACACAATCATTTGAGGATACCAGGACATTTCGAGCAGCAATGTCCCTGACAAGGAAGAATTTGGGACAATAAATTTTAACACAATGCAAACAAACCTATAAACTCATCTATACTATATGAACATATTTTCATAGGTACACTGTGAAAGACAGCTTATAGATAATGCAAATAGATTTGTTATAAGCTAAAGATGATGATTTTACTTCACATGTATTCCTTTTGGTAGATATTTACTCATGAATATGCTGATAGCTATCTTAAATAATGGAAAAACATTCTCAAATGATGAAAATGCTTATTAACTTTTCATAAAATTCTATCATTATCTGCAATAACTGACAGACATGCTCAAACGGGGGTCTGTAACTTCACCAGTACTAAAGAGATCTTGTTAAATCAAGTAAAAGTCATCTTCTGAGCACAAGACTTTTGAGTGCTTTTGTGGATACAGCTTGTTTCAAAGCTGGACAACAACACAGTAACTGGTGTGACCCTTGGCAGATAGTTCTTAAGGACTTTCACTGGTAATCAAACTGGAGCCACAGATTATAAACAGAAATTCCAGAGAAGGGCAACAGATGTCATGGGTAACGCTGACATCTGGATAATAATAATAATTAATGGAGTTAATTATTTCGGGGACTCTTTCCACATATGCCCTGCTTCGTGTCAAGTACACATTCTTGACTATATGTGTGGAAGGAATAAATGTCCTGAAAGCATCCAAGAAAAGCCTTTCACCATGTGTTGCCAAGCCAGGCACTTCCATCTGTAGGACACAACCCAACAGGCTATGCAACGGATCTGAGAGGTATGAAAGGTTCTGGGGTACATGGAGCATGGCTCCTCCCCATACTTGGCCTGCAGTTCCACCCACTCAAGGCACTTGGTAGCTTCAGGATTGTGTCTCACCTGTGTACAAATCTTTTGCTCTCCAGATACGCCAGTGCGGTACTGAGCTGATAGGCATATAAGATCAGAGACGCCAGATCCAAGCTGTATTTCCTTACTTGCAAAAATGACCTCAGCTTTGGGAACAACAGCAAGGTAAAAAAGAGAGAGAATAAAACTCAGCAGCATAAAACCTACACTCAACAGCATTGCACCAACGTTCCAAACACATATGAATACTATGAAATGGCTTCACTTTTCCCCTTATACAAAAAAAGTAATGAATGAAACATTTTAACTCAGAAATTGTAGTTAATCATTATTTCAATCCTATTGTAAAATTAGAATCTTTATGCCTATATATGAATTCCAAAAAAATTATAGAAGACAAGCTTCAAAACAATAATAGAATCACAAAATAAAGAACTGCTAATAACAACAGGGACCCCAAAGATCTAGCTACTGTTCAAATGAACCTAACATACAAACACAGCTTATTCACCGCCACTGCAAAACTCAGTGTGGCCCAGGCGGGTGTGCCATGCAGTGGGGAGGACGGGATGGTAAGGGTGCAGTGGTCAGGTGTTGGGTGCTCACCCCAGGGGCTCACTGGTCTCAAGACTAGACTGACAGAGTAATTCAGCTACATACTAACATAGGAAAGAAAGGCACACGGCTTTATTAATACTCTAGAAAATTGGCAAATAAAAGACAAATATTTAGCAAGAGGCTCTTAAGTCAGAAAAATGAACAAACTCTCCAAAAGCCAAAGCAGAAAAAAAACAGGGGGGAGAATCTATACAAACACTCCATTTGTCTTGGAAGCACAGGCAGAGGAAGAAGATGGGCTGAGCTGATAGAAACAGTGCTCCAGCCTGGCCAGACTCAGCAGCTGGGGTAGGGCTTGAGAGCTTGTGTTTCCAGCAAGTTTCCAGGTGCTCTGACTAAGGTTTCAGTAACCTGGAGAACGTCAAAGAGGGCTGCTGACACTTTTGTTACTCACATTTTTCAAAGAAACTGTGACTAATGGCAGCTGGTCTAAAAGACACTGCAAAGTGAATTCTCAACACTTTGTGAATTCTCAACTCAAAGTGAATTCTCTTGACACTTTGGATTTACCTAAATTCAGCATTAATTTACCCAAGCTCTATTAACAATGTTTCTTCCATCTTCAAATCATTGGGCTAGTTCTTCAGGCAATAGCAACAGAGAGAAAAAGAACCCTTTGGTTGTGTGTTGTTACCAGTTCTGATAAAATATCTGGATGCAACAGCTGCCAGGATTATCTGGGAATTTAGTTGCAAAGTTTCTTTTTTTCTTGAGACAGAATCTCCCTACATTGCCCAGGCTGACCTGGAACTCTTGGACTCAAGAGATTGGCCCACCTCAGCGTCCTGAGCAGCTGGGAGTATGGCGTGTGCCATTGTGCCTGGCTCAGTGATGAAGATACCCACACTAACATTCTCTGGATGGAAACCACACGTGATCCTGTATGAGAACTCTCCTGAAAATCTAGGATGTAATCTCTCGACTCCCCTTTTCAGAAGCAAAGGATGTCATGCCCAAATTGCTGGCTGACTGTGAAGCAGCAGACTACTGAGCAGCCAGCCCAGGCAGGCACAGAGCTCACCATACCTCTCCCAGTGTGCACAGCTCCATGATTATCCACACGGGGTTCTCTGTGATGACGCCAATCAACTTCACAATGTGAGGATGGTCAAACTGACGCATTGTTACTAAGGAAAAAAGTTGTTGTCTACAGTTATTCTTTTGAAAACTTTAATTTTTCTTGAAGACTAGTCCACTGAAGGCAAATACTAACGGTGTGGGAACTCAGAGCTCAATGTCACAGGGTGCTCCTGCTTCTGAGTGGGCGTGCACTGGCATGTGCTTCTGTGTGCCGCAGTCTGGCTGGGCACAAAATCACGAGCCACTCAAGCAGGAACAAACTTTGTTTCCAAAACTCCTGCGAACGCCACGCACACACGCAGCCTTCTCCCAGAACCCCACACCAACCGGAAATCCCTCCTCCGGAAATCCCTCCTACCGCACTTCCCCAACCAATGGGAACTCTCCGGGAGTCCCCAGGAGAGCTCCAAAGTAGCAGGCTGAGGCAGATAGCAGGGGTCTAATATCCAATTGAATACACATCTTAACATAACCATTGTCATCTCAATGGCTTGCTGGCGTCACCTTTCAAAAAAAATGCCATGCTTCATTCCTACTCGGCTATGGCTCTCAGCATCTGTGCTTGCGTATCTGTGGCATAAGATACTCACTGCGGCAAATTTGTGCCATGGGAGAACAGAAATGGATAAATGGCCAAGAAAACCCATTCTTTTCCTCTAGGACAAAGCTGACATAGGCCTACTTCCCAGGTTTTTCTCTGGACATCTGATAAAATGGGAACGTGCACTTCACTTAGTTGGGCAACATGCTCCTGGTAAAAGCAACCTGACTGGTAACACTGGGAGGACAGCAACGAGGACTGGGAAGCCACTGTCTGTGTGGAGACCTTGCTGACTGGGCATGCTTCTTGCAAGGCCTGAAGCCATGCCTGTGGGGCTGTCACAGGGATTTCTAGTTGGTACACAGGGGTTGCTGCATCCAGCATTGTGGTCTGACCCTTGCATGTGACTAGCTGCTCTCATGGCTCTAAGGAAGGCATGTCCTGGACAGACAGCTGTGAGGGCCTTCGGGTCAACTAACCTGCTCTAGTTCTGGTGCTGTGCTGCTCTACTGCAGCCCCTAAGGTCTGTCCACCTGCCTGGGCCAAGATGACCACCAGAGCCTACACACACACAAAGGTAAACCAACTCGTGGGCAAGTGCTCGTTCATAATTTCTAAAAGTCACTTGCACTGTGTGCTAGGATTAGCAAGACAGATGATCTGCACAGAACTACAGGATTGCAAAACAACTCAAAGTAACTTCAAGGTGACCTAGTCCAGTGGCAATTAAAACACTTGGATTTCACAGACTATTAAAATAATAAATAAATAAATAAATAAAGTCCAAGATATTTTGAGGCTAAGTAAAGACATTATGATAATCACAGCAGTAATTTTCCTTTAATATTACCAACATGTTATGAAACAACTGGTGTCTGAATGTTGTCAGGAATGGGCCCCCATATACTAGTGAGTATTTTATGCAGTTCCTTCATGTATTTTACAATTCCTAAGTTGTAGGAACTGGTAAGAATGTACAAAATTCTTGTCCATAAAAATGCAACTCAGTTCTGTGGGGGAAGTAAAATTAAATCTGCATGTATTTTAAAAAAATCACCTCAGAGGTTCTTACTCTCTATAGACACAGGGTTTTGGGAATTCTCTTGAACCAGCTGTGACATCTGGTTGGTTCCCTATTGACTCCAGTGCTTTCTGTTCCTTTTTTCCTGTCTCTGGTTAGGGAAATGATACAACCATGTTCAAGGAACAGTCCCTGCAAAACCCGGAGGCTGCACTCCAGACCAGCTGGCAAGCATCTCTCAGGACGTTCTCAAGCCATCATCCGATTGGCATAAGTGTGGAGCCACAAGGCCCAGAGGCAGGCATGCCTGGAGTTGGGTCCCAGCTGCCCATGGATACAGCAGGTCCTGTTGACACACCCAGAGTTTCTTGCCAAGTCGCCTCACCTTCACACAATATGACTCAATCCCTGGTGGATACCCCCACCTTCAACTACCAAATTTTCCACATATTTCAAGAATAAGACCTGGCAGCTTTGGTTTTGTTTAACATACAAAATTCCAAGTGTATCATTAAATTTACTCTTGTCAGATTGAGGTCACTGTGTGAATACTCTGTCATCTTTAAATGAACATTTAAGTACAAAATGTATTTACACTTATTTTCAATTTACTGTTAGTAACTATCGCTTTTGGTGCGATCTTCACATATAATTAAAGACTTTTGTGTCTCCTCTGATGTAATTACTAAAATATTAACCAAAAAGAGCTGAGGGCACAGGAGTGTCCTGTACCAAGGCACAAAGGGAAAGTGTATCTTCTACCCTGACATGTAAAACACCATGTTTACTGGGGAAAATCTGCAGATATGTACCTCTTCAAATCCAGATATTAATTTGTAAAGCAAAATAGTAAACATAGTTATCTCATAAAAGTTACAACATATTTTTCCTTACTTCTTAGAGTTCACAGATAGAAAGTCAAATGAAGTTACACAGAAATTTCTAGACACTTACAGGCTTCTTGGAGGAATTTCTCTCTCACGCTGTCCGAAGTACAGTTTTTACATGTTTTAATTGCGACAGCCAAAGCTGGATTCTCCTGTGTTAGGGAGATCACAGAATCACATAACATGTAGGAAAGTTCTCTATCAACAGGTAAATTCATGAAAAGTTGTTGTTTTGCAACTATGTGGCTCTGGACCACGCAGAATTGGCATCACAGGATCTTAAAGAATGAGAGAAATACTTAAAACAAAAATGCTGTGCAGAATCCTCTGAGCTAAATGGACACACATGAGCCGCTAAAGACGATTCACTCTTCAACGTGTTTGGAGTGTCTCCAGCAGCAGGTGCTGTTCTAGGCAAGAGGTGCCTGTGGACAGCAGAGGCAGTGATCCCTGCTCTTATCCAGCTTACCTCCCAGGGAAGAACTGACCGGAAACAGCACGTCATTTGCCAAAGGGGAGTGAGGACATGGAGGTGTTGTGGTGGCTATGCAGGAGGAGGCTCCTGGGGCAGATGGGAGGAGAGTGAAGACCAGAAGGAAGCGAGGTGCCAGCCTCGAAGGGCAGGAAGTTACACCTGGCAGAGGCTGGGTGCACATAGCAAACTCAAGAGACCCACCTGGGCGTGAGGCTGGAGCTGGGCCTGAGTGGAGACCCGATTAGAGGGGGCCTCCCAGGCCAACAGGGAGCAGTGGTTTTCACTGAGTGAGACGGGGAGCCAGGGCAGGGTGTGGGCAGAGGAAGGAGCACTCTGGCTGAGCTGCTGAGGAATGGCTGCTGGGAAGCAAACTTAGGCACAGGAATCCCATATGTGCAGGTCACAGTAAGCCAAAGGGTTGGGGGACAGATGATAGTGGCTTGGGTAAATGTGGCCGCAATGGAGGAACATAGAGGGCTGAACCTCTGGAAGGGCTCTGAAGGCAGGACAAAGCTGGCTCTGGGTGGATGCAGTAACACAGAGGGAAGCTCTTGTTTTTGGCCAGAGAAATAAGCAAGATGGAAGGGGAAGACCAAAAATTCAGCTTTGGCTGTGATGAGCTTGAGACGTAAGATACCAAGGCACCCAGGTGCAATGGAGTTCAGGTGGAAGCCTGGCTGGAGACAGGCATCTGGAAGTAGCTCAGTTCATGGGACTATAGTCATCATGGGGACACGGGTCCAAGCTCTACAAACTGAACAAGTGCCAGGCCAGTGGTGCATGCCTGTAACCCCAGAGATTGGGAAGGCTGAGGCAGGAGGAATTCGAGTTTAAGGCCAGCCTCAGCAACTTAGCGAGGTCCTGTCTCTAAATAAAACATAAAATGGGCTGGGAATGTGGTTCATTGTTAAGCACTCTGGGCTCAATTCCTGGTAACAAAAACAAAACAAAACAAAAACAAACAAACAAACAAAAAATGAGAAGTTAGGTAGAAGAGAAAATAGCAAAGGAAACAGGAAGGTGTGACCACAGGGTAGGAAAAAAACAAGAAAATGTGTTTTCCTAGGAGCCAAAAAGTTTGTCTTTTCTTCAAGATTAAAAGATAGAACTTAAGAAATGCAAGAAACATGATACCAGAAATGACCTGCCACTTGCAACAAATCAAGAGTCTGGACAGCATCTGAGTGTGCTCATCTCACGCTGGGCTTGAGGCTCCTTTGCCAGAACACCTGTTTACCTCACTTCACACAGGTACTTTAGCAAAGTGCCTCACATTCTGTTAAAGAGGCAGAAAAGGGGAGGAAGGGAATAGGGGAGGGGACCAAAGAGGAGCTGGGGTATTTGTGAAGGTTTGGCAATGCTGAATCACGTCTCCATCCTTTCTGGGAATCCTCCAGAGCCTACTGGGGAAATGCAGCTGCATCAGCCAGAGACACCCGGGGTGGGGTGGGGGTTGGGGCGATGCTGTCCAGAGTCCTCCTTACTCCCTGCACCTCTCTTCTCCCCGTCTAGCTTCTCCATGGCTCTTGCATGTTCTGGCTTTATATAAGAAGGTTCTTTGGGGTTGATGGATGTTATCTAACTCTTAAAGCAAGTGACAGATGGCACCCAGGACAGGGATCCTGTAGGTGAGTCAATGGAGCCTGGAGGCATGGAGGCTGTCCATGGTCATGCTGCCAGCAGAGGTAGGTTCTTTGGGCCCTTCATTGACAGTGAATTAGGGTAAGCAGAGTTTTTGTGGTGCATGCCTGTAATCCCAGTGCCACCGGAGGGTAAGGCCTGAACAATTTAGTGAGACCCTGATTCAAAAATAAAAGATAAAAAGTGCTGGGCAGGATGTAGTTCAGTAGTAAAAATTCCCTAGGGATTCAAATCCAGTTCCCCAAACAAACAAACAAAAAACCACAACCAAACACTGCCCCCCCCCCCCAAACAGTGAAAGGGGAAAATTAGATAATTTGTAGTTGTGATATGCAGGAGGTGGTGGCAACAGTTGGTAACACAATACCCATTTTGAGTCAGTCCCCAGCCAACATGGCGCTGTCACTGATTCCAAGGTCTTATTCTAGCTTCCTCTCAAGAGCAAGCTACTGGGCTGGGTTGTAGCTTGTGAGAGACCTCTTGCCCTGTCAGTGCCAGGGCACTGGGATTTGGTCCCAGCTCACCTCTATATAAACAAACTTATCTGTGTGAGGAACTCAAGTACAGGTTGGCCTCAGAGTAGCACCCAGTTCCACCTCCCTCTTGGCCCAGATTCAACACTGAGCCCACCTACTCCCTGTTTCCTTTGGAGGTGGAAACGCTGTGCTATACCATGAGGGTGAACCTCATGTGGCCATTTGACCGGGCCATAAGGTGTCCAGATATCTGGTCCAACATTATTCCAGACATTTCTGTGAGTCTAACATGCAAGTCAGCAAGCTACCTAAAGTAAACTGCCCTCAGTGACATGGACCCTCCAGGAGGAAGAGATGCTGCCTGGTAGCTGCCAGGCTGGGACACTGGTCCATTTCCTGTTTTCAGATCTGGACTGCCCTCTACTCTCTCAGCCTTTGGGTCTTGACTGGACCACACCACTGGCCGTCTTATATCTCTGGCTTGCCGAGTGCAGATCACAGGACTCATGGGCTCCCATGACTGTGTGAATCAACTGTTTACGATAAGTCTCTTGTGGCTCAGATCCCATTGGTTCTGCCTCTCTGGAGAACACTGTCAGAGCTGTGTCTTCCACAGTCTCCTCCATCTCACTTAAGGACTCATACAGATGCTTAAGGCAGACAGCCTGAGCTATTGTGACTCTTCTGTTCCATGCCCACGGGATCCTCTAAGCAAGGAGCAGGGCTCACTGCACCTACTTGCACCACCAGCACCTCAGGGGAGCAGATGTTGCTGCCTCACTACCACCCATTCTCCACATAGCATGGGCAGGTTTGAAAACGGCCATGGGATCATCTCCCAAAGTCCTACCCTGTACCATGGGTCCCAGCCCCCTTCCACCAGCGTCTCCTGCCCAGCGTCATCTGTATGCTTTTACATTCTTCTGCTGCAACACAGAAACATCTTTGACATCTTGGGAGTCCTGGTGTTTTTCTGGGGATAGGATTCATTCAATAAATATTAAGTAAACACTACACTGAGAATATAAAAAAAAATTCTCTATTATTTTTGCAGCTAAAATCGACTTATTTTAAAGTCCACCATTAGCTCTGTGACCCTGGTGAGACATTGAGCCTGAAACTTTGCAATGCATCTGTGTCAGGAACCATAGGGGTGGGAGGAAGCTGGAGTTCACCTGGGTTAGTAACTGGAGTCCTCTTGCCACATGGGCATTAGAGCCAGGCCTAAGTTCAGGCCTTTTCACCAAGTTTAGATCCAATGCTCTTCTACTGTGTTTTGTCTCAAAAGTAGAGTAAGGAGAATAAGGAAGATAAATATGCATAGAGTTAAAAAAAAAAAAAGTCTACAAGTTTTTGGTTATGAAAGTACCATTCCCTGGTGTGTGTGTGTGTGTGTGTGTGTGTGTGTGTAGTGAGTTTAACAAATGGGCAGACATGGAAGGAAGGGCAACAGCAGGGCAATGAGCTTCAAGAAAGAATGTGAACATCCAGAGGAACCAGGGACTTCTGAAGACAAAGAGGTGATTTACACTTGACAGTCAAAATTAGCACATATTTTGGGGGGTCGTAAGGGACTTACTGGACTCATGTACACGCCTTGATGCACATCTCCAAACTGGCCTTCTCCAATACAGCGTCCGAGTTCTATTCTTTCTCTTTGAATCTCATAGTCCCTAGCTGTAAAACATGACCTGTGTCAATATGTAATTAGGTGCAATACTTTAAATGTAGACACAACACTTGGCACATAGTTTCATCATGAGCAGAAACTTCATCTGTGGCACATGGATATACAGAGGTGCTTTCAACTGAGTGGAATTCTCTTAAACAATACTTTAAAAAGAACTTCTATTCAGTTATGGTATTGGATGTATATAAAAATGAGTTTTATTAAAGGCAGATTTTTTTCCAACCTAGGAGTCTTTAAGTATCTGATTTATTTGTTATCTGTTTCATAGTTCCCTAAATAATTGCTCTAAGTATTACAGTGTACGTTTCATTAATAAGAGCTATTAGTTTAGGTATTAATGTAGGAAGTCTAGAAAAACACAATTATTTAAAGCAATTATTTTGCAAATAACTAAAGTTTATAAACACAGGGGCACTATAAAATTGTTAAACTTTATGCTTTGAAAGTTTAAGAGCTTTCCACTTCATTATAGTCTTATCTATAGATTATCATGGAGCTAAGAGAGTTTAAAGAGGTAGTTTCTAAAAAACAATTTCAAAATCAGATGACATGGAATCAAGGCTGAATATATCAGCATAAACTTGAGAGTATGTGCCTTAAATATGAGTTATATAAGATCAGTGTCTTGGCAGGCTGTTGAGGCACACAGAAAGAAAACACCCTCTAGGAACAGAATAGATTGAATTTCAATTCAATTACTCACTTGGTCCTTTGATTTATTTCCCATAAGAAATTCATCCAAATCAGGGCTGTATATATTCCATTAGTGTAATCACTAATAGAACAAATCAATAGCCAAATGTCTTAAGACCTTCCCCTGGGAGATCAAGTTGTATAAATCAATTGTATATAAACATTGAACCAACATTTTAGATAGTTGTTTTCCTCTTTAAAATCAATTTAGCTAGTAATTCCATTGATTTAACAGAATGAGTAAACCAATGATAAATAGTTTAAAATAAGTTAACTGAAAACTGAAATGTCCCGTATCATTCCACGGTTGCAATTGCAAGCAAATGCAGTTATTTCAAAGGAATCCTGTTACCTTCATCTATTCCATAGTTTTCTGTATTGCAATTAAGAGAGAAAAAAATTGAAGACCTTGCTTAGAAATAACTAATAGCAATTAGGTTAACAATAAAAACTTGGAGAGTATATTTCAATAATATTCACTTCATTATTTTAAACTCAACTATGAATAAAAAAAAGAGATCTAAACAAGTAAAAACTTTATATCTCTGAGTTACATTGATGTTTTTATTGTAATGTCTTTAAATCTCTATCTCATAAATTCCCATTTTTCAATTCATTTTTTGTGAGGTTTGGGTAAAAGGTAGCCATGTTAGGAATTTACTGTTAAACTATAAATAATAAGTAAATAAATTATATATATAAATGTGAATTCTCTGTAGGAATGTACAAATGACTAAATGGTCAATCAAAACACTATCCTTAATCTTAAAAAAACATTTTCCCAAATTGCCATTGGCTGTTAAAAAATATACACTAATTTTCAGCTCTTGCCTTGGTTTTAATTACTCTGATAAAACAACCCCCCACCCTCCATACTGGGGATTGAACCCAGAGGTACTAAATCTCACCCCCACCCCGCCCCTGTGGAGGCTGGCCTTGAACTTGTGACCCTCCTACTTTAGCCTCCAGGGTCACTGGGATTTCAGGTGTAGGCCACCATGCCTGTTGTGACTGGTGACTTTTGGCAGGCCAGTGTGGCCTGCCCAGGAAAATACCTGCCTTAGAGGCCTACTTATTTCTCTTTATTTTTGTAATGTTTCCTCATTGCATATACAACTCAAATGAGAATACTTTAAACAATATTTACAAAACAGGATAAAGAAATTAAAATACTTAGTTCTACTGATATTGGAGCATTTGGATTTCAGGTAAAGCTGCTGAGGCTGCCTTAAGAGGTGGGATTAAATTTTAATTTTTTTTCCCTTGTTTTTTACAAACATGAAATTTCAAGGACTTATCCAATTCAAGAGCTGGGGACAATATTCTCCAAGGCAAGAGCTGGGGCATCTACAGATTCCCCTCTGTACAGACAAAGAGGAGAGCACCTTGCCACTTCCAGGTGGCAGGAGCTCATCCAGGGGTTCCGTGTCCCACATAGACACCACAGAGGGTATGGACTAAAGGCTGGAAGCTGCTGGCACTGCTCAGTCAACCACACACAGCAAGGCATGATTTCAAGGGGAAATATATATGTGTGTACTAAACCTTTAAAGAATACTAATTATCTACAGAGAGTAAGTACTCTAATAAATGTTGCTAAACAGCAAGAAAACAAGACTACAAAAATACTCTATCTAAACAACATTAATTATTTCATTTTAGGCTTCTGGTCTTATAGGAGTGCATATATAGAATTTGTAAGGTTGAAAAGAACACTTCTGTTAAGCACACAATAAAGTTTTCAAAGGACAATAAATAACCTAAAACCTATAGGCACCTATAGGTTATATACCCTATAACCATGAGGCACTATCTGTCAACCTCAGCAAAAACAGAGAGAAGAGCACTTACTTGAGGGCATGGTGTAAGTATCTTCTTCATCGATTATCTCGGCATAGTCGTCTGTCTCTGTGCAAAAGGAAAACAGATATGTTGGCAGAAGTTAAAGACTTGACCTCTTGGCCTTTGATACAATTTAAAAAGGCAAAACGATCTGTCTACACCCTCTACCATGCTGAAATATTCTTAAAATACTCAAATTTTGCTCACAAATGAGTCATTTATGGAAATCAAAGTGACATCACTGTCACTGTTAATAATACAGACTTGTTTCTCAGACAGCAAACAGGCTAACACAGAAAGCCCTTGTTTAAAAAAAAAAAAAAAAAAAAGACAAGAGATGATTGATCAATGATCCAAATCAACCAACCTGTGCTGGCTGCTGAACTTCCCTCTACATACCATGTACATGCTTAGAACCATGCTTCTGGCTACTGGAGTCTCCCAAACAAGACTGGCCCCTCCAGAGACCAGGAAGTTTTGATTTTATTAATGACAAGACTCAACAGCATATTCTGAAACTTTTCTTTGAGGGAATAAATGCTAGCCTGAGTTTTGTGGGGGGAACTGGGCTGACTTATTTCATTTGTTCCGGATTGAAAAACGCAGGGATTTATCTTCTGTAGCTTTTGCGCTCACATATTTCAAGAAGTATGTCAATGTCAAAAAGCTAAAAGACGGCTGGGGTTATGGCTCAGTGGTAGAGCGCTTGCCTCACATATGTAAGGCACTGTGTTTGATCCTCAGTACCACATTAAAAAAAAAACAAAGATATTGTGTCTCCATGTATAACTAAAAAATATTTAAAAATAAAAATAAATACAGCTAAAAGAGCCAGAAGTGGTGATGCACACCTGTAATCCCAGAGACTCAAGAAGCTGAGGCAGGAGGATAGCAAGTTCAAAGCCAGTTTCAGCAACTTGGTGAAGCTCTAAGTAAATCAGTGAGACTCTATCTCTAAATAAAATACAGAAAGGGGCTGGGGATGTGGCTCAGTGATTAAGCATCCCTGGATTCACTCCGAGTATCAAAAGAGGAAAAAAAAAAGAAAGAAAGAAAAAAGGAAGGAAGGAAGGAAATAAGTTAAAATGAGTTATTTTTTGAGACAAAGTCAAGGAGTTCCAATGTTTCCACCGACTCCTTCCTATAAAGCAGGATTTTAAAAACCTACCACTGCACTAATGGGGACATTTCAAAGCACTCATCTAGGGGATAGCCATCACTCCAACAGTACTGTGCTAAAACACATTACTCTCCTCCTTTTGGAAAAACAGAACCCTTTGCTGTTTTTAGTGTCCCTCCTGGAGGGACACTAAGCTCTACACTTTTTTAAAATTGTAGATAAACACAATACATTTATTTTTATGTGGTGCTAAGGATCGAACCCAGGGCCTCAAACATGCTAGGCAAGTACTCTAACACTGAGCCACAGCCCAGCCCCACTAAGTTCTCTCGAAAGAGACCTGAGGGATGACTGTAGGGCCTGAGAAGCCAGCACCTCCTGCTGCCTGTGCTGCCCTCAATACTTCACTCAGCTGCAGAACCATGAAAGCTGAGCTGGAGCCTGCAACTGGAAGAATTTAGTTCTCAATGTGTATCATCATTAAAATGACTATGAAAATTCTGGCTGGCAGAGTGTAATGTTAATAAATCAATTCTCTTTTAGACATTTATCATATGTAAACGATTATGGAGAGGTGAATATATTGTATTATTCTTTTATGTTTATTAAGTAATGCTACTTTGGGGATTCAAGAAAAAAAATTTAATCTATTCCAAACCTTCTATTCTTTCATTTCCATATTTCTCCCCCATCAACACTCATTTCTCCCCTTTTATGGCAGTGCTGGCTTGAAACCCAGGGCCTCACACATGCTAGACAAGCCTCTAACACTGGTGCTACACCTGAGCCCTTTGATTATTTTTATTTTGAGACAGGGTCCTGCTAAATTGCCTAAGCTGGCCTTGAACTGCCTCAGCCTCCCGAATTGCTGGGATGACAGGCGTGCACCACCAGGTCTGGCCCATCTTTTCTCCTCCTTCTCCTGTTCTCAAGAGAATATGAAGAACAGTAAACTGGCAAACTGTAGGCCTGCAGCCTTGCTCCTGTGTAAGATGGTTTATCAAAAGACCTTGTGGGAAAAGATCTGGAGCTGCAGAGGGAACTGCTCAGGTACCTGTAACAATCAGGACTAAGAGGGGAAGAATCTACTGCAAGAGCCGAGATGATAGAGGCAACACAAGCCCCAGATGAGTACCTGCTCATCACTGTCTCTTTTCATCCTGTAATTTAGCAGGCTCAACTTCCTGACAATGCCCCCAGAAGATGAACGCCACCAAGGCTGCCTTTCCACAGACAGCAGCCCCAGGTCCCTCCCTGCCTTCTTTCATGCAGAATGGTATGTGCCTCTGGCTGGCCCCGGTGGGGCGGGTATTGGGGGAGCTGCTCAGACTCCCACGTCTACTGTCCTTCCCCAGGGGCCTGGTCCCCAACTGTTCAAGGCTCTACAACGCTGCCCTCATTCTCAGTCTGACTCAGCAGATGCTGCAGACTCCATGGGAGCCTGGGAAGACTAGGCGTGTGCTGCCTGGAGAAGAGTATGAGGCTAGTAAGCACAGCAATAGCCACAGCCCACCTGAGGCTACCACCTGCTAAAGCTCATCTTGGCTCAGAGCCAATTCTGGTTTCAGCCAAGTGCCCCATCTATTCAGAGACCTCTCCCCAAACTAATTTGCCCTATCCCCATGTTCTTGATCATATTCCTTGACTTATTGTCCTCTGACTTTTAAACATTTTTTTCCTTGTAACTGGTCTGTATGGCTCTTGGGAACAGTGTGCCCCTGGAGCAGAGCCTTTGTGCATCTTATTTACCTGTGTTCTCGGCATGGAAAACAGTGAATAGCTCAGAGCAGGTGCTCAGGAGATACAGCTTCTCAAGAAAATGAGTGCACTGATAGACTGAGTGGGTGGCACATCCCCAGAACAAGGGACAAGGCACAGTGCACATGTGATCGCTTGAGAGTTGCTTCCTGACTATGGGTCAGGTATGCTCTCATGTGCAGAGCGAGAGCACAGTGCCCGTGCCAGGTTGTCGTGAGGACTGTAGGGGGTGAGCATGAAGCTGAGGTGTGCCCTGTACCCACAGACTGCCAAGGAGGAACTGCTCCTCTTGTGGCTGTCTTGTTCCTGTGAAGCTTCTGAGAGGGGCTGGCAGGTTTATGTGATGACCCTTCCAGTCAGTCTTAGTGTGGCTCAAGTACCTTTGAGGACTGTCTCATAAACCTCAAGCAGAGATTCCACCCTTGAAATAACTCTGAAAATTTTTGAAGAGTGATGAGACTACTACAGGAAATCTCTGGGGAACTCACTGGCCCCCTGGGAATTAGCCACAATACTTGGGGCAGATGTATGCTTTACGACACCAAGTGCACAGAGAATGTTTACTTCGTGAACTACATGGGTCGGTTCTTAAGGAGCTGAGTAAGCACCAACAGGCACACAGGACTGTGAAGCTTTGCAGATTCTATGTAGGAGTTTCAAGTGGCAGTTCTTGGCATATTTCTCTAAGAATTATTGATATTGATTTGGTTATATTTTTTCTCCTGGCTTTTAGGTTCATGGGATACTATGACAGACACTGAGGTGAGAACCTTTTCTCTTTTTGCTGTGCTCAGGGCCTTGAGCCTGCTGGTCAAGCACCCTACCACTGAGCCACATCCCCAAGTCAGAGATATTTTTACACACTTATGGGCCCTGATAAACTGGAGGCCAGCCTTAGACTGTTTCCTCTACCCCCAAATAATGGTATCATAGAGGGACAATGCAGGACAAAGGAAACAGTCAAAGATCTGTTAGATAGCACTCTCTACTTCTGATAGGGACTGTCAGCTTTGGTAAGGTGACAGTGTCCAAGGGCTCTTGCACTGTGGCTTACTCCTCAGCAGAGTGCTCTGGGGGCACAGTTGTCACTTCCTATTTCCCAGGCTGAAGGCTAAGGCACGTAGATGTGCAGCTTTTTCAGGACCCTGCTCAGGGGTAGCTTGTACTCAGCCTAGTGGCGCAGCAGAGCCTAGTTTGCAGTGCTGCATGGTCCTTAATCACCTTTCAACCAGACGCCCTTCACTTTGAGACTACCACAACTTCCTATAGACATACTTCCTCCCTCCACAGGGCTGAGTGCTACACCAAGGATGCTCACAGGAGGGCTCATCTAAGCAGGGGTCCCACACTGCCATCCCAACACAGGAGCAGAGGCAAAATCTTGAGCAAAAGCATTCTTTCACTTAGCCCTGAGGAAAACCCCTTTGCTTTAGCTTATAAAATCTCACTTCTTTGGTGGCTCAGTGGTGAACCTGGGAGATGCCTGACCCAGGAGTTAAAGGCTTAAAGAGAAACATTAAAAGCTGGGCATGGTGGCACATGCTTAAACTCCCAGCTTTTGGAAACTGAGGCAGGAGTGCTTGAGTGCAGGGGTTCAAGGTCAGTCTGGGCAAACTAGGGAGACCTTGACTTAGAAAAAAATGAATGATAAATAAATATATAGAAACATTTTAAAAAGGAGAATCCTAAAATTTAGATAACATAATTTTACCAAAATTATAAATTAAATGAACAATTTGTTAAAAGGACACTAAGAGTTAAGCAAATAGGGAGGAAATTACTAAGTTGTCATTTCAAAGCAAGGTTAAAAAGAGACAGAAAGTCACTACTAACTGATCAGCATGCACAAAGACATTAAAGGTTCATGGTCTGTCACTTAAAGAGCCTAATGCCTCTGGAGGTGCTATCAGGAGATTGGTTTGGTGTCTGGGAGGGATACATCTGTGGAGAAAGCATACTATTGCCTGGTTTATAAACAAAAGGAAACACAAAAGTCTTTGAGCTCAGAAAGTTCCCAAGCACTGAAAACCTGTGAAATTTTTCAGTTATGAAGCAGAGAGCGGGACCTGTCTCCACACTTTTTCCTGTCTCCTGGTAGCAGCAATTCTGACAATCTGCTCCCTTGCCTGGCTTCCCCACTGTTCCCAGAGGCATGGGGCTAAGCAAGAGGGGCAGGAAGTCTGAGGCACCACCACTCTCAACCACTAACATCTGCACAGGGCCCAGGCTACGGGCAACTTGCAAGGACTAACCAGTATCAGTCTTCTATCCAACCGGCATAACTCAGATGTGCCATGAAGTCTGCAGACATATGAAGGAGAAGATAATTCTTTTCTAGTAGCCAAGATAAGTCCAACTTTGCTTGGCAGTATTATTCAGCCACACTACTTAGGCCAGGGACTGGCATTCTTTTTCTACAAGGCCAGGCGGGAAGTGTGTGAGACTGTGCGGGCCACACACTCTGGGGGCAGCACTCGGCTTGGCCATTTGCACCACAGTCAGCAAGTGGGGAAGACACCATGGAAGTACAGGTGTGGGGCCGTGTTCCAACAGAACTTGACTTATGGGTGCTGAAACTGGGATTTTTACATAAATGTGATATCACAAATACTAGCTTTCTTTTGATATTTTCTGTGCAACCATTAAAAAATGTGAACACATTGCTAGCTCAAGAGGAAGTACCAGAACAGCTGGGTTGTTAGGCCTTAGTTTGTGGACCCCCAACCAATACCAACTGAGTCAACCCTTAGGATGTGGGTATTTACTTGTAAGATGGGTTAAGTATACTTGCCTTGGCTAATTCGTAGTACAGAAAAGTTCTAGTGTGGGGAAATTACATGAAAACGTTTGCATTCTGTCAACATATAGTAACAACCCTTTGTCTGTAGATATTTAAATCTGTATGCTTCACAGTAATCCTATAACCACCCTGGGACCCCTTTTACTGATGGAGATGCAGGGGATGAACAATCTGCTTCAGGTCACTCAAGTCACCTGGTGACAGGATGGAGCAGAAGACAATTGTGACACTGGAGCTCAGACCTAGCTACTCCTCTCTGATCCGCAGGCTCTTTGTCTGCAAACAGGGCCACCCAGTGATATTCCCGACTGCTGTGAGCAGGAATCACGCAGGTAAGGTGCTTGCACATAGGAAGCTCTCAATGACCTAAACTGCTGACTTTATCACTACCAGGGATTGATCTAGAAAGGAAGCTCAGATCTTCTGGCTTCAAATCCTATGAAAAACACGCACTTTCAGATGAGAGTCATGTCGTGGCCTTTCCCAGAGGCCACGAAGCTCATTCTATGTAGGGGTCCCACACTGCCATCCCAACACAGGAGCAGAGGCAGAATCTTGAGCAAGAGCATTCTTTCACTCAGCCATGAGGAAAACACACTGTCCCCTTTGCTTTAGCTTATAAAATCTCACTTCTTTGGTGTGAAGGACCATGAAGTTCCATGCAGGCAGCACAGACTGAGAAATGTAAGACTCTAAATGTGATTTTCAGTTTTTGAGCTTATTAAGTGCTATCAACAGTTTGGAGGGGGGGGGGGACAACCATTATCATTATTGCTGGTATTTTCCCTTACTGTTAGTTTGCAAGACTCTAAAATCATTTTCACTCTTTCCTTTCTACTACCTCACTCTGATCTAGGAATCATTAATACATACTCCATACTTGCTATAGATAGAGAATGTCTGAATTTCTATCACTTACTGTTTTCAAGTGTGACTAATTTTGCTGAAATACTGCATTGACAATTTTCTAGAATGCTAAAATTTTAACTTAAAAAAATCTAGAAAACTCACTATGAACATACAGCTCAAATTTCCTGCTGTGATGTGATTAGCTAATAACTAGTTACACCTTCCACACACCACCCTGAACAACTCTTAGCAGACCATGTTCTTGTGCCATTTGTCCTTGTTTCTGTTGTATCAAAACCATATTTTGCCTTTCATTAAATACTGGACTGTACTTATTTCCATAAATAATTATCATAGCAGTAACACAAATGTGAAAATAGATTTTACCGTCCCCACTAATTTCATCTGCAGATCCAGGTGGCATGCAAAGAAAGGGGGAGCAGGGAACAGAGGGAAGGAGAGATGGGAGAGGAGAGAAGAGAGGGAGACACTATTAAAATGACAAGTCCATCAAATCTTGAGAAAAGTAACAAAATCACCCCACCCAGGTCTAATTCAAAAGGCAAAAGACTGTAGTCATATGTTACTTGAACTGACGGATATTATGTCAGGTTTTAAGATAACAAAATGTTATACCAAGTTACACAGTAACAGAGTTTTAAATTAGTTTCTACTATAGTAAGCAAAATTAATTCGAAAGCCTCTCACAATTACATGTTAAAAAATGCTTCTACTTCTCTCAGGGAGAATTTGTGTCCTTTTAGATAAAAGACAAACCAGTCGTTACATGTATGTTAAAAGATAAAGGGGAACCCGCCTGGAGTAAGCCTACTGCAGTGCGCAGCAGGATTCAAACACCACATGGGAGTCTAGGCCAGGCCCACTGCAAACCACAGGGAGTACAGTGCTCCAAGCTCTGCGAACAAGTAAGGATCCCCTTTAAATGTGTATGAAACAACAAATTTTATTACCAACATTCTGGAGAAATTATTGTTTCAACAATTGTAAGAAAATCATTGCTTTCCTAGAAAACCCTCCCAACGGCAGAGCTGGCCCTTCTCTGCAGCATCCTGAGCACAGAAAGCAGACACGGGCGATTCTAAGCAGCTCCTCCTCATTCAGGTGCATGCTGCGTTAGGAGACCCATAGTACAAGGAACCTGGTCCTGCCCACCCCTGTGGGAAAACACTCAGAAAGCAAAGGGGGCAGGAAAGCTACTTTTTGCCCTTTCATGCACCTGGAAACCAGCAAACAGGCAAACAAAAGTCTATTACTCAAGAGAAGCAGCTCCAAGATTGTGAGACAGCAAACCTCCCCCAGTTATCACCTCTGGACAGCAGACACCACACACTGACATTCAGTAAAGCCAGGAGCTGCTGAGGACGGTCTCTAAGCATCAGTTAGAGAGTTAGCTTTGTGGTGCTGTGGTTAGCAAGGGACCCTATGCAACAGAGTGCAGTACCGGCAGGAGAAGGTTCATGGGAACAGAAGACCAAAGGGAGAAAGCGCCTAGCTTTCTTAACTTTATGTTGGCAGTGACTGACTCCTTTACAAAGAGGCAGAGGAGGAAAGAAAAAAAAGAAACAAATTATTTCAATACAAAAGATAAACTGTTACATTTTAAGGCACATCTATAAAAATAGACACAAATTTGCAAATATTTGTATTTCACTACTGGCACACCTTACTTTGTACTAGCACTGACTTGCAGCTTATAAAATAAACGCTACTATTTTAAGATCTAATTTTCTGTCTTAGCAAAGGTTAGCACTGGATATGGAAGACACAATGAAACTCTCCTGATCTGCACAGTCAGCCACTGACAGTACAAATATGCTTACAAACCACAAAACCCAAACAAAAGAAATAATAAAAACCAATAGTAATTCAAGAATCAAGAACATTCAATATTCTTGTGATAATATTCAACAATAAAGAAAAAAATGTAGAAAACTAGCAGATCCTGATTTTGTGAAAGAGTTTTATGTGCAATTTACTCCACATTCTCAGTGGAGACAGAGACTCGCAGATCTGGAGTACCTTGTACACCCTGGTGAGGAGGGTATTTGAATACACAGGCAGCACACCTTGCTCATTTACTCACTTGCGACTCATTGAGAGGTGTCCCACTCTGATTTTAGCAGTGAGAACACGGAGAAGCAATGATTACAGATGATAATAGCAACAGTGGACATGCCAATGAAGTCCAAGCAAGGGATGGAGCTTTAAGATGCAAAGTAGCAGCTGAACGACCCAGGCAGCAGGAGACGCAGAGGGCATCAGTGGTAAGTTGCCACTTAACAGCGTGGGCCCTGGAGGAGGCAGGCCAGGACTGTCTGGCCATCAAGATGGCAATGATCTCACTGGCAGTACCAATATACAAGGAGCAGAAATGAAAAGAACTAAGAATACTTTGGTACTTTTCAAATGATGTATTTTGATTCCAAGGACACAATCTCACTGCTTGGTATGAAAAGCTACCTTCTTCACAGACCAGAATCCTGGCCCTGCAGGTGATGGCCTAGGAATGCCACTCTCCCTGTGATACTGGTGAAGAAGATGGCCTGAACTGACAAATGGATGCACCAGAGTTGGTGGGGGGGGGGGGATCAGGAGGCAAGAGCTATGTGGGATACCCTGGATGGAACAAGAATGTGCACTGTGGACAAGGGCATTCTCTGTCAATATTACATGTGTCAATTTTGTTAATTCTACTCTGATATTATAATGTCTTTGACCCTAAGAAATACACATTGAGATACAATTATCAACAGTGCATTCAAATAAACAATATATGATACTTTGTTTTTATTATTCCTACAAACATTCTCCAAGAATAAACTCAGAAAAATAAAAATATAGGGAGCATGGGCTCTGTTTCAGAGAATGTCTGGATTCAATCATTGGCTCCACCACTCATTACCTGACTGTGGGAAGGCAACCCTACTTTCATTTTTCAGTTTTCTTACCTGTTCAATAGGGTAGTAACAAGCTGCCCCAGGTAAAGAGCTGAAGGAAAACTTTCTGCTAATGGTAAGTGAGTGGAAGGAGCTGGACAGGGAAGAGATGGTGAGCATGCACACCAGCAATGTCAGGGCAGGGCCTGGTCACTGAGCAATGAGGACACACATGTGGGGGACCTGGAACTGGTCGTGGACACTCAAGGAATAAGCTAGAAAAACAGGAAGGCACAGTCTGAGAGGGTTTTCTTGAAGTGAAACTGCAGCTGGGTGCAGTGGCACACACCTGTGATCCCAGCTACTAGGGAGGCTGAGGCAGGGCAACCACAAGTTGAAGGCCAGCCTAGCAATTTAGCAAGCCCCTGCTTCAAAATAAAAATAAAAAGCCTAGGGACATGGCTGTTTCAGAGCTGGGTCCAATCCCCAGCACCTCCCGCTACCTGACACTGCAGTGGGGTTGCAGATAAGACCAAGTGCGAACACTATGAGGGTAATAGGTTGTGGGGAGGAGGGACAGGTCCCTAGGCAGATTGCTAACAGAGAACACAGAGCCTCCCATGGTGACCTGGATGCTTAGAACGCAGGTGGGACTTTGATAGGCAGGATTCAAAGCTAGTGTTTGTGAAGGAGCAACAATGAGAAGCAAGGGACACTTCTCTCACCTCCTGTCCTAGGACTGCAATAGCTCCAAGGAAGAAGCAGTCATTGGCAATAAGGTGCCCAGAATAGTGATGCACACCTGTCACATGTGAAGAGGGACTAAGAGGCACCATCACTCTCAGGGTGAGAGCTAGTTGCACAAGAGGAAGGTGACAGGATGGTTCAGAGAAAAAGCTGTGGGTTCAGAGGAATGGCAGAGGCACAGTGAGGGTTGGGAACTAAGAGAAAGCAGAGAAAGACAGCAGGGATATTCAGGGTGTCTGGGCGACACAGGAATCTGAGGCTTCTGTAGGGATATGGGCAAGAGTCCAGGGGGTCACTGCTGACTTTTCCGCTTTGCACAGTGAGGTAAATTCCCTCTGGCCACTCTTCTCAGGAACATTTGGTTCTGGAGGAAAGTTCCTGAGCTCTGTACTCTGACAGTCTTCCCAGCAAATCATCCTACATAGGGTAGCCGTGGGGGAACCCCGCACCACCAGTGGAAAAACCCATTCATTCTAATGACATTTAAAAAGAAGATCCCCAAGGACAAAAGCAACATCTGGCTAGTGAGGTCAAAACTCCTTGTTTTAAAAACTGGGAAATAAAGGAAAAGAACAGGGCTATTTTTTCCTAATTCTCCAGTAGAACCCATTCCCTAGGGTACTGAACAGCTCACGCGGAGAAGCATCTTCAAAAGTGTTCCAGCAGGGGCTGGGGCTCAGGCACAGTGGCAGAGCGCCTGCCTTGTGCATGGGAGACACTGGGTTTGATTCTCAGCACGACATAAAAATAAATAAACAAAATAAGGATATATTTTAAAAAAAGCGTTTCAGCAGAAGAGAGGAAGGACTGATGGTTTGGCACCCTATTGTGGTCCCTGAAGAAAGCCAGGCATGAATGTCAATAGCTGCTAAAACCAAAAGGCAAGATGCTCATGGGAACATTATAAGTGATGGATCTGTCCAGAGGGACCTAATGCACTGATCAATCTTAATGTCTCCAAGAAAAATAATCAGATGTACACCACCTATGAACTATTCTCTTTGTTCCCTTTTCTTGCTGCTATACTGGGGATTAAACCCAGGGCCTTGGGGCTAGGGTGGTGGCTCAGTGATAGAGCACTTGCCTAGCATGTGTGAGGCACTGGGTTCGATTCTCAGCAATGCATATAAATAAATGAATAAAATAAAGGTCCATCAACATCTAAAAAAATATAAAAAACCAAACAAACAAGAAACCAGGACCTCATACATGCAAGGAAAGTGCTCTACCACTGAGCTACATCCCAGCTCCCCCCTTTTTTTTTTACTTTGAGACAGAGTCTCACTAACTTGCCAAGGCTCACCTTGAACTTGCAACCCTCCTGCCTCAGCTGGGATTACAAACCTGCAGCACCACATTTAGCACCTGTGAAGCAGTCTTGCAAGAGTATATATCATTGGATCTGAGTTGGATCAACTTCTCTAGATTCTAACAACCAGTTTACAGGGACCAAAGAGCCAGAGATGAACAGTTAAGCAAAACCATGTCAAGAGATGTGATTAGCCAAATGTGGAGTATAAGGAATGCAGGGTAAGTGCCAGTGTTTTCAAGGGTAAACGCCATTACAAACAACAGGAAGGCCCAGCCACCAGGCACACGGAGAGGCAGAGAGCATGTTCCACAAGTGTTACTTGCTTGACTCTAGTTTGCACAAGACAAAGCATGAAAATGAAGCAGTAAGAGAAATCTGAATGCGGGCTGGATATTTGTTAATGTTTTCTAAAGGGTCTTACTTATAAGAAACATAGGTGAAATATGTCTTAGATTTGCTTACAAAAACCAGTGGGGATTATGTGTCAGTATAAGTAGCTAGATGCAAAAATGAAATAGGACTGGTCATGAGTCTCCACCACTAACTGTGGGTGATGTGTATGTGGAAAATCATGGTACAATTCTATGCTCTCTCTTTTGCACATGTTGGAAACTTTCTAGGATGAAAAACTAGAGAAATGATTCAAAGGCATAACACATAGTGGGCACTTAATAATATTTGTTCACTATTTGTTCTGATTCAAGCAGCTTTGATTTTAATCCACAGGCTACACAAACTGGGCCCTGAGGTCTGACTTTAGAATTTTATTTTAAAATCCTCAGTTCTCCTTTAAAGTTTTTCTCTGCAGAGAAAAAAAATAATAGGGCCATTTTATATTGGCAATGTTTGTTTTATATTTAGCAAGATGATACTTGGGCTTCTTGCATGTTAGTAATATGATCTTTAAAAAGGTTATTAAAGTTTATCAATGACTGTGTTAAGCAGTTGAGTCTAAAGACTGAGAAGTATACCCAAACATTGCCAACTGTGAAACATATACTATCAGAAAGACAGGAACACATTTCTGTTCAAAATACACTCATGAGGGCTGGGCTACGGCTCAGTGGCAGAGTGCTTGCCTAGCATGTGTGAGGGAGGCACTGGGTTCGAACCTCAGCACCACATAAAAAAATAAATTAAAAAAATAAAGGTATTGTGTTTATTGACAACTAAAAATATTTTAAAAAATATACTTATGAAGCATTTCATTCTCATTCAGATGCAAAGGATGTTGGGGAGAAGATGAGAATAACGCTCTGTTATGGAAAAACTGTTCACAGGATGGAGGCAAGAGATCTGTGGGGGTGGGTCTGCTAAATCAAAAGTCTTCCCTGCTCAGCTGTTGCTCCAGCCTCTCCACGAGGGCAGGGAGAGGGCAGAGGGCAGAGGACAGGGTACCTGGAACTGGGGCTCTTTCAGGGCACACTTCACAGCCAATGGTGCTATCTCAGTGCGTGTGACATCTGAGATTCTCAACTCCTTGGAAAACCAAAAGAGAGTGAGGTGACTGAGTAGCACCCTTGAATCTCAGGAGTGGCAGGCAGAGTTCCAGTGATACCAAGGTGGGAGAAGGATGGCTCCAAGGAAGAAGACAGCAGGGTGGCCTCCTGGGGTCCTCACACCCTTACCCATGCCAAGGCTCCAGCCTGTGTCTCTGTGAAGCCAGATGCAAGCTCCTTGATGGCTTGGCCTCTCTTCTAATACCAGGCTGATCACAAAACACTAACAACTGCTACTGAAACTAGAAGAATATCCAGTACACTCCAAGTACTAGAAACACTCGAGTCATGTCTAATACCTACCACTTTGTGTCCAGAAAAGCTACTGGTAGCATTTTGATCATGTCATAAAGCATATGATTTTCAAAATGAACTTCTTATCTACTAGGAAAGAATACCCTGAAATTAGGGCAAGGTTTGCTTGTTTGTTTTCACATTCAACTTCTGAAAAGCCAGCATTTAAATCAAGCATTCAACAGAAGAGACTACCTTGGAGAAAACAGTATTATAAAAATTGTAGTCAGAGTATAAAGCCAGGCACAAGCAGCTCTTTCAAATTTAAACACAGTGCACACTTCTGAATTTTAGCAGAAGAGTCACTACTATATTATTACAGCTTAAGGGGGAAAAACTACTATGGAATCACCTGCATGAAAGTATTACTCCCTTCCACACACATCAAGCTTTTGGAATGAACCAACAGAGTCTAATGAAAGGACAAGGAGCCTCCCAGTCAAGGCTCTGGGCTCCTATCAGGAGCAATACGAGCTGGACCAAGCATCTAAGCTTCCATAGTGGCAATTTCCTCATCTGTAGAGAGGAGATGCTGCAGACAGTCCTGAAGTCCAGCCTGGGCACGGTTGGGTATAGCACATGCTGGGCTCCAATCACACTTCAGCACTACTTGTGTTCACATAGCAGTAAAGGAACAAAGACCTAATGTGTAAGGCCTGCTCTTAAGTGTTTTAATATTTAAGAATAATTTCCAGTCACTGATTTGAAATACCTGAAGAAAAGTATGCTGCATGGTTAACAACCAAGCCAAAATGATGTTACAATTTTATAAAAAGTTTGCAGTAATACTGAAAAAGCAGCCCTAGTAGGACAAAATTTGTACTTTAGCACAGTGGGGCTGGCAGAGACAATCAAACTAAATATTCTTACTGGCAGGTGAGAAAGGTCACTCTGCTCATTTCCATGATGAGACATGAAAGAGAAAAACTGCAATCTGCAGTCCTCTTGTGTACCATGGAAACACTTAACAAGAGTCATGGCCATGATGAGGTGGTATCTCAAAGTCAGCTCTGAGCATCAATTTGGAAATATCTGTATTCCTGTGCATTTTTTGCCCCTTCCCACTGTGTTCCAGCACCACCACCATGCAGGCCACGCCTCCCTCTCTGAGCCCACGTATAAATCCCACATGGCAGACTGACGCTGGCCTCTAAGTTGTACCCTAAATTCCACCAGAATCTTGACCTGGCCGTGGCTCTCAACAGAGCTTTACAGTAAGTATGTGTTTCCTAAAAACTTAATACTTAATTGTCTTGAAAGTCCTTTAGGCCCTCAGAATAGTATGCCCGGGGAAATTTACGATTCGGTTAGGTATTTCTGAAACCTCTATTAATCTCATTTTTACAGAGTAGCTCCCAAATCTCAAAGGTAGACCCTCTGGGTAGAGGGATGCCTCCAGCAGTGCTCGGCACGCAGCACGCACTGTCTGCCAGGTGGGCTGCTGTGCAGTGGGCAGTGAGAAGCTTGAGGAACCCCCACCTTAAAGGAGTACTGGCGGCCAGAGGAGGTGGTGTCTGGCAGAAAAGTAGACCACCTTGCAGCTGGCCTGGCTGGACTGCAGCCTGGCCCCATTGGCCTGTACACAGAACAGGCTTGCCCAGGAACAGAGGCAGAACATCCCAGGGTCCAGCAGTATGTCAGTACCCCAGCCCATATGGGGGCAGAGAAATAATCCTGGGCTCTGTTAACAGTACTAGTTTTCCAGGTGTCAGTTTAACAAAGATACTTCAAGAAATGTCAAATATCAGCTTTGAGCAAGTGTGATGCACAGGTGGGTTGGATGCTATGTGACTCTTTGTGGACAACAGAAATGTACCATGCTTGTTAGTCTGATTCTGCCTACATGAGCAGGCAGCAGGTGGAATGACAAACAACCACATCATGACTGTGGAGGACATTCTTCTCTGCTGGATCTGCAATTATCCAGGACAGTCTTGTGCCAAAGGATCTCAGCTCTGGAAAGACTGCTGTGGCAATGAGAAGAACAGAACTGGTGGGCCACCTCTAGTGGGGCTATAGGGGTAGGGGAACCACAACCCCAACTTAGTGTGGCTGAGAAACAATGTAGAGAAGGGGAAGGTGGCCTGTGGGTAGGTAGATGGCCTTCGAGGGCTGACTAAGAAAGCTTGAGCTTCATCTGATGAACACTAAATTATCACTGTTTCTGACCTGAGTGATGCATATTTAAATTAACATAGTAGTAAAGAAGTGACAGAGAAGGAGGTATAACCTTATTAAGGTGGACCTAGGAAGAAAGTATTAAGGCAGAATCAAAAGAAATTAAGAAAAGGTTTGAACCTAGAGAGCCAAGTTTGGGTACTGATTCTACCTTTTGCTAGTTATGTAATCTTGAGCAAATTATCTAACTTTCTCTGGGCCTCAGTTTTCCTCATCTGTATATTAAGAACTATCTCCTTGGGCCATAGTGAGGACTACAAGAGTTAATCCATGAAAAAGGATACAGAACATGAAGCAGAGACTGGAACAAAGTATGTTCTGCAAGTATACCTCACAAGTCAGCTGGCTTTCTTTTCCGTGTATGTCTGAATTAGGATATAAAAACTGGGAGTGTGTCCAAAAAGGGTGGCTGAGAATGCAAAGTGCAGAGGTGTGATGATGACCAGCTGCTAAAAGAAACTGAGGTTCAGCCTGAAGAATGGAGGAAGCTGATGAAGAAATCAGTCAAACTGAAGGACGAGGTATGAAGCTTCTGTGGGACCTACTTGATCACCCAAGACAGATGCAGGAATCATGTTTCTTAGCCCAATAGGAGCTCAGCTTGCTCTCAAGCAGGAGTAACCATGGGGAATGTGCATGGTCAAGCGCAGAGCCAGGGCATTCAGCAGACCCTGGGCCTCATCCCGGAAGCTGCTTTTCAGGCTCAGAGGTGGTGCAGGCCTCAAGGGCTCTACAGACTTCTTGGCAGAACACCCTCAGACATCCCCAGGCCCTTCTTGCCTCTGGAGTCTGCTTAGGGCACCTGGTGGCCACCCTCTCCACCAGACTGTGAACTATGAGGCTGAGTGTTGCTGGACGGCCCAGATCCACTTCTGGAAACCTTGGTTACTGCTTGAGTCTTGCACTAGGTTTGTGGAAAGACAAATGTGGACAATGAGTGGGCAGCACTGAGAATGCCTCTGCCATGAAGCCCGAGGGTCTTTGCCTGGAGTAGGGACACAAGACACATTCTGCAGAGGACATGTGGGTACTTGTATGCGACAAAAGACAAAAAGTTACACTTTAATGTTGGATACTAAGAAATAATCCAGTATCGACTAGGCAAAAGAGCAAAACCAAATTTTAGGAAAAACTAACGCATAACAAATTGAACAGGAATTGAGTCCCTGTATGCCAGAGACTAATAACTAATGTTATCAGGAAGCTACTATTTTAGAAATAGAACATATACGTTCATACTTTTGTTCAAAGACAGATGAGACACACATGTATGCAGCTCCACCTCTATCTTCCATATTTTCAGATTGGAAAAAAAGACATATGTACTTTAAAAACATACAAGAAAGGCACACCACACTCATCACACCAGCAAATAGTTAAGATAATGCTTATGCCAGCATCTTAACTATATGTAAAAGAAGAACCATATCCAAACACCATTGTATGTTGATTGAGAAAGGCAAAAAACATCTAAAAAATGTTTCACATTTCTTGAAATTCAAAAGACAATAAAATAAATGTACAAAGTATATAGTTTTAAATTCCACTCAAATGCAAAGATAAATTATGATGGCAAAATCAAAAGTAACAATTTTCACTCCAAATATGACTAACACAAAAAACTGAAAAACAACCCAGAATTTATATAGCCTGGAGAGTAATCTGGTACTTCACATGTCTCAACTAAAACAACAAAACCTCTGAGCTGGTAAAACCATGCAAATCCCTAGTCTAAGGTAGTCCGGAAGAAGCCTTCACACTGTAAGTGGAGGGAGGTCTGCGATGCTCTTTGCCTGGCAGCTTCCTGCAGAGGCCTCTCCCCTGGTCCTTACCTGACACAGAGACCGCATGTGTCCGTACACCTTGCTTCTCACTGTTGGCCAACCTGCAACAGACAAGGAAAGAGTGAGCTCCGTCTTCCCAGGACAAAGCATACAGGCCCCACCCTATGGGGAATGGACCTGGATTAGAAGGACTTCACTTCACAGGGAGATTAGATTTTAGTCGGCTGTTTTGTTTTGCTTTTTAAATTGCATACTAGTACTTGAAGTACTTCCTGGGGAGAGTACTTTTATGCTTTAAAGATCAGAAATTAAAATAGACAACAGGGCTGGGGCTCAGTTGCATAGTGCTTGCCTATCACGTGCAAAACTCTTGGTTCATCCCCAGAATCACAAAGTAAGGAAATATCTAAAAAAATATATGCTTAACTTCTTTGGGAAAGTTACTCATGATGGTGGCTGAAAACCAGCAATATCATGCAATGTGAGTTACACAGAAGTTGGCATTTAACTACTAGACTGTAAGGACTGCTGCAAAGTTAGGAGAAAAAAGTCACACATTTGGCACTGAATTTTGATCTCTAGGATGTAACTTGAGGAGCAGGGTGTAAATCAGTGACAGCGGCTTGCTTTCCATGCCTAAGCCCCTGGGTTCCATCCCCAGCACTGTGGGAAAACAGGTTTTTTTGAAACACTAGAACATGATTGGTCCATATTAATTTATACCATGTAAAAAAGCCAGGAAATTCACTGATACATACTGTTATTACATACTGAAAAAGAGTAATATTTTGTAACTATTTGAAATCTTGTATCTTTACTATAAATATTGAAGTTCTTTGCTAAGGAGTCACCTATTTCTCTTCTGTTATAGCTACATGATCACAGTTTTTGCTTTTTTTTTTTTTTTAACATGCCACAATTTTCATTGCAACATGGCCATTTTTTTTTTTGACAGTGGGGAATTTGATTGCAAAATAATGTTCCCTTTAGGGCTCTCTTACACAGAAACTGCCACCATGACTGACTGCAGAGGCCTGACATTTAAAATATCTTTAGTGCTGCAAGACTCAATACAGTAAACACAAAACTCCTACACTTACTCAAGTGTATGCTCAATCAAAAGCAAAAAGGCATTAATGACAGCTACTTCCTCTAGGAATCATGTGGGAAATGGGCATGAGCACTAGGCACGAGGATAAAGGCACCTAGTACTCACAGGACCTATGAAACTCAACTGGCATTCCTTTGGGGGATTAAACTCATTTTTAAAAAAGTGCTTTAGTGTATAGTGTTATAACTGTGCTGCCATGTCACAAAGACAGTTTGCCCGGGCAGGTGAGGCATACTAGTGCTCCAGTATCTCACAGAACTGCAGTTGAGTGCACTGTACATAGTACTGAAGGAGTTCACCATCTGGCCAGCGGACAATGCTCTCAAGGTGTCCACTCTGCCACCCTTCGAAGTACTCCAGCTATTCACACCAATAGCCACATCCATGGCAGTGCTTGCTAAAAAGGGGCAAACCGCCTGCTGTTTAGGCTAAAAGCAGACCAGAAGCACTCCTTGGGTTCTATATAAAAGTGACTCTATTAAAATGTCAAATGGCAATCACTGACAGGTGGCTTGAAGGAATAACATCTCCTTCATTCACTGTGTTGGAAAGGCCCAGTGGAAAGAGGGCATGGGGGGATTCCTCTTGCAACCCCAATGGACAGAATTGGAGAAATGAAAACCCCTTAAGATCCACATGGCACTTGACAGTCATTTTATGCAATGGTCTTTCTTCAAGTGCAACTACTGCATTGCCTCCCAATTTCTTTCCAAGTGTTGAATGGTCCCTAATATCTATCATCCAAGCCATTTACTTGCTACTTGTGTTTAATAACCTGTATAATATTTTTTTTGACACTGGGGATTGAACCCAGGGACAATCTGCCACTGAGCCATATCCCCAGCCCATTTCATTTTTTAAGCTGAGACAGGGTCTTGCTAAGTTGCTGAGGCTGGCCTTGAATTTGTAATCCTCCTGTCTCAGCTTCCTGAATGGCTGGGATTAAAGATGTGCACCACTGTGCTCAGCTGTATATTTGCTTTTAACAGTATCTTTACAGCTAGCATACATCATATTTTTTTAAAAGAAATAGGTTTCTTTCTTTTTTATTTTATTTTAGTTGTAGATGGACACAATACCTTTATTTTATTTTTTATTTATTATTTGTTATGTGGCGCTGGGGATTGAACTTGGTGCCGCATGCATGCTACCAGTGAGCCCCATAAATCATATTTTTTAAAATATTTATTTTTTAGTTGTAGTTGGAACAATACTTTTTTTTTTTTTTAATTTTTATGTGGTGCTGAGGATCAAACCCAGGGCCTCACATGTGCTAGGAGAGCGCTGTACTGTCGAGCCACAACCCTAGCCCAATCATATAGTTTTTTAAAGTGTGCACTTTCAGAAACCCAGAATATATACACTAGGTCTTCGTTTTTATACTCTTTTGTTTTGTATGTGGTATTCTACAAAGCATGTCAGTAATCATGTGTAGGGGTCCTCTATAGTATTCACCAACATCACCCACCAAATCTGCTTTGCCTACTCTACAATTATTTGTCTTTTGTTACTGCTTTATATCATTAAAAACTTTGATTACTTCATCATTCCCTCTAACTCCAGATGACCTTGTGCCTATGGCAGTCACACTGAAGTGCATCCCTGGGCCTGAGGGGATCCTCACCTTATGGACACAGCACCCCAGTCTGTGCCTCGCCATCATCCTGCCACCTCTCTCAGCAGTGGCGCTAAGTGCCCTACAGCAAACTCCACTCTTCAGAAGTCTGCTTCATTAATTCTGTTTTTCTAGTGTTTATTTCCATTTCTACTGCCTTCTTTGTTCACTATTATGTCTGTGTTTATGATCTCCATGTTTTAAACCTCAAAGTCATTCCTTAACTTTCCACAAGGAAAAGGAGTGAAGACGAGCAAGCAAGCATTCCCTCCCTGCCTGGTGGGAATCCTCCTCATCTGTCAACAGTGCAGACTCTGTGAAGCACTCTTCCTCCAAACCAGAGGAGAGCCACTTCACCTCACGTCACCCCCAATGGCTATAGTGAACTCTCCAAGCTAGATTCTTGTCAAGGTCAGGACTGCAATTCCATAGGACCCTGGTGTTGAGAGCTGACTGCCAGTGCACAATGTGGGTAAGAAAGAAGCTTTATAGGGAAATTCACAGGAAAATGCTACCAGAATGCCCTCTTGCTTGAGGGGCCCAGTTTTCTAGAGGAAGTGATGTAGGAACAGACCTGAAAGATGAGCAGGACTTAGGAAGAGGGTGGAGTCAGAGTGTATAATTTAGGAGAAAAACACTGTCAAAGGCTTGCGTGGAAAAAATGGAGTTTGCTTTAGCAACTGAAAAAGTCCAACAGAGCTGAATGCAGTGAGGCGTGGTGAAAACCAGGGCTGAAGAGTCAGCAGGAAGTGGAGCAGGGCAGGCTCTGCAAGATGGGACATGGGAAGTTGTCTGAAGAGTGGCGGCAAGCCAGGTGAGAGCTTGAATTAGGGCTGTGCCTGCTGCTGCAGGGTAGAGCAGGACAGAAGGGTGGCAGAACTGGGTAGGAAGGGTTACAGGAGGTATGCAGACATGAGTGGACACAGAGGGCCTAAGACTGGCCTGCTTGCATGGCTGGCCTTGGCTGGGGTCTGGGAATGTGGGTTCTGGGAGAGTTCCCATTGTCTTGAGAGGTTGGTTCGTTGGGCCCAAACATTTTACTCAAACAATATAGTTTATGTCGAGCTCCTGCTTTTCTTATGGGAGTCTGGCTTGTAGTACATGGGACGTCACCAGCCCCCATAAAAACTCAAGGCACCCAGTCTTGACAGGCAACATGCTGGGGGAGCGTATCCTGCGTGCCCCCTGGAGAGACACTTGGCTGCCTGCTCCGTGACTTCCTTGGACTTTGCCCCTTTGGTATGTGACCACAGGCTGAGTTCTATGTGTCCTTCCACAGAGCCACTGGGCCTGGGTTGTCATGGCATCCCTGACAGGGTCCACTGGGTCTGATACATCTAGAAGGGCAACTGGAGCAAGTGACAACAGAAGGCCTGTGTAGGTAGGAACAGGAAGAATACTAGGCACCTCCTAGTTTCCACCTGCATGAGAGTCGCTGGACTCTAACTCTCCCATCTGGGCCCCCAGTTCCTAGCACAGTGGCTGCAAATATAGAGCTAATTAGATAGGTGCTTTCGGCATTACTATTTGATTTCTTTAATTTTAAAGACCAACACACCTATTATGAAATTTGTGACATAAAAAGCAAAAATATTAGCATAAATTATTGACATTTAATTTCTCTACTTGTAAAATAGCAGAAACACACCTCTTTTCAGGTTCTCATAAGGTTTGTGATAAGAATGTGAAGAAAGTTTTCAACAACACCTCATCTTGCATTATCATCATGATATTCTTTAGCTCCTTAATTAAACCTCAAATAAGGGAAAAATAACTTCAACATTTTCATTAAACCTGGATTCCTATTAGAATTGGCAGTGAGGGCTGGGGGTTGTGGCTCAAGTGGTAGAGCGCTTGCCTAGCACGTGTGAGACACTGGGTTCGATCCTCAGCACCACATACAAATAAAATAAAGATATCGTGTCCACCTAAAACTAAAAAATAAATATTAAAAAAAAAAAAAAGAATTGACAATGGATCTGGTTCATGATGGAATGGAGAGATGTGGGAATTTCATGCTGTGGGGGACACGCTATAGCAAATTCCTTAAGTCTATCCCGACATTGAACAAGGCACACAGAGCAGCACTTACTTGGGTATTGATGGCAATGCCCGTTCACCTTCTGGGAAAAAAAAAAAGAGAGATGAGGTAGCTTTCATTCCTTTTGAAGAGTTTATACATAGAAGCCAGGGAGAACAGTAAGCCTCCTCCTGGGATTTAGCAGTACTCCTTTAAACAAGTCAGTACACTGTGTCTTAGCTGTCCAAATACCTACCATAATCACAGACTGTTATGTGCATCCTGTTCAAGAGGCTTGCTGAATCATATAATAAAGAACAAAGGTGAAATGTTGATAAAAGATTTCTAAAATCAAAATCAAACTTCTTTGCCAAAGATCCAAACATTCTGCATTTTGATAAAACTATTCACAGGTAACAGCTCCAAAACCCGTGTAGGCAGCCTGGTGAAACACCAGGGAAACAAGGCTCAGGTGAGTGTAAATGCCAGAGGGTTCCTGCACCAGAGAAGCAGAGGCACAGGGAGGACCCCCTGGTCAGAGAGTGTGCTACACAGCCACCTGCCATGGTGCTATGAGTGGGCCTCTCTGTGCAGAGCAGGACACCTCTTCCTTTGGGGTACAGTAACTGGCTCACGCAGGGGATCATGTACTCTCCTCCAGCCTCCGTCTGGGAGTCCTTCCTGGTTTTCGCCTCTTCAAATCCAACTTTATTTTTCTCAGTTCTGCTGATCACCATTTGATACATTGTACTGTGTTACTTACTTTCTCTTAACAGTTTATTTATGCTATTCATGTCTCTATGAATGTCTCAGGCATGCAGGACCTGTGTTTAGTCTGCTGCTACATTCCTGACTTGTGTCTGGAAAGCAGTGCCCTGATACCTGCACAGCACCTGGCACTGAGATGGCTCTCAGGCCACTGCTCAAGGAAGGAGGACATAAGTCAACCTGGGCCCTCCCGACTGACTGTCTCTTTTAGGGGCACTGCAAGAGCTGGGTAACAGGGCAAGAACAGGACCCACGGCGGAACCGTACAGCTCAGAGCCAGCAGCACCGCCTGCTGAGCTGGATAGCCAGTCAGCATGCCCCCAAAGACCGAAGATCAGAGTGGGGAAGCCCATGGTGAGCTCACTACCCCCAGGCACGACCACTGCACCACACCCAACACCATCACTTAGTAAGATGCCCTTTCCAATGACACAGGGGTGTGATGTTTAGATTCAGCTTTTAAATTTTTTGAGCTCTATGAAATTTCTACTTCCTCTGAGAGCAAATCAATCATTCCACTTGTGAATAATAGAGATTCCAAAGTAGCTGGGCATGGGCAGAAGCTCGCTGTGACAAGGTGAACAACAACCGGAGAGTGCTGACAGCAAATTTGAAGAAGTGAGAAGAAGGCAACAGACATCCCACCAGAGCATCAGGAGACGACCTGCATACCCACTGAGCACTCTGTCTGGGAATTAGGGATCAGCACTCCTTTAGACCCACTGGACTGGTACATGATCCAACACAGCTCCTTGCATCTATCAGGATGGGTCTTACTACTCTGAATACAGTCTTTTAAGAATCTTTGCATCACCTTACATTTTGTTTGAGTTGAAGGACTTTACAGTTCAATTTCTGAATAAAAGATATTATCTACTGCTCTTCATGCATTTAATAAAGATTTGCTGTAAGAAATCTAAAAAGGTGAAGCTTACCCAGTGAAGAACGTGGGAAAGCTGAAGTCTGGGTCCCCAGGAGCAGCAGGCCACTTAGGCTCTCATGCATTCCTTATGCCACAGGCACTTAAAACATACCCTGGTGTGGACATATAGGCATACACCTACATGTGGGTGCTGTTGTTTGTTTACTGATCCCCACTCTGCTTCTAGCTTCTACTGTCAGGGACAGTGTAACAGTGATTATCCCTGAGGCGATGCTGCTGTGGAACCAGCAGCAAGCCCACCTAGAGCCTGCTGGCAATGCTGCACCAACGGCACCAAGTACATGGCCGCATGCTTCCAAATCTTGGCACAGTGGCTGATGCTGCTGGTTATTTTTTTTTTGAGGGGGTGCCAGGGATTAAACTCAGGGGCACTCAACCCCTGAGCTACATCCCCATTTTGTATTTCATTTAGACACAGGGTCTCACTGAGTTGCTCAGCGCCTCGATGTTGCTGAGGCTGGCTTTGAACTCTCGATCCTCCATGTCTCAGTCTCCTGAGCAGCTGAGATTAAAGTCATTTGCCACCGCGCCGGGTAATAGCTTCTGTTTTTAAAAACAACCTAATAAATGCAAAATGACACATGTCCCTGTTTGGGTCCATGTTTACGGGACATCTGCACATACATTCTTTTTATGTTGGGCTGCTTTTTATTTAATAAGCTGGAAAAACGTGTGAAAAATAAAGAGTTTTAATTCTTTACTGTATGCCTCACAAACATTTTCCCTTTCCGTGTCATAGCTTTAGAGTGTTCGTCTTTTATGAAAAGGAGTATTTTAATCATGTAGTGACACCTATCACTTCTCTTCCACCTTCTGGGTTTTAATTGCATGCAGTAGTTCACACCCTCTCTGGCAAAGAGCAGCGCTGGCTGCAGTTTTTGCAGGAAACCTCAGAGAGCAAGTTTAAACTTCACAATTCTTTCTTCCAAGGGGAAGAACTGATTCTGAACGTTCCTCTACAGGCTCAGGATAGGTCAGCTGATGCAGTCAGGGAAAGGCCACATATTGATGCTTGTGGAGCCTGGTCAGGACATCTTTGTCCAGCCTGTGGCTTTTATTATGTTTTCTGCCAATAAACATCACTTTTAAGAGCACTATAAATCCAAAATAATGTGGTAGATCAATGCACAAAGTACACATGAACATGCCCAGAGATCACACGCAGAACTTACTGTCCAGTTCTCACTGCTATGCTCTGTTATGCACCTGCATCTGTACACTCTGCCACTCTTAAGCAGTTTGTAATCTAAAGACAGACCAGAATGTCATTTTTGTTGAATGTGTATAGCCAGAAAAACATTGTAACAGATTTGAAAAACACAATGTTATTTGAATTTTTCTTTTATTTTAAAACTTAGAATGTATTTTAACTGATAAAAACCTGTATGTCATAAGTACTACAGGATGCCTCAGTACATGTATGCACGGGATCACGGTCAGATCAGGGCAGACCCAAGCCACCCCAACACATTCATCATCCTTCATGGGGAGACACTCAAGATCCTCTCTCCTGGCTCTGTGAAAGACACCACATGCCAGAGCTTCTGCCCCCACAGTGCACCTCCATCAGACCCTCCCATCTTACCCTCGCACCTGCCCACCCTTTCCATCGTTCTAGGGGAACAAATCTCAATTAAAAAATGCACATGTGGGGCTGGTTTGTAGCTCAATGGTTGAGCGCTTGCCTAGCATGGTTGAGGCACTGGGAGGGAGGGAGAGAGAGAGAAAGGGAGGGAGGGAGGGAGAGAGAGAGAGAAAGGGAGGGAGGGAGGGAGAGAAAGAGAGAGAGAAAGAGAGAAAGAGAGAGAGAGAAAGAAAGAAAGAAAGAAAGAAAGAAAGAAAGAAAGAAAGAAAGAAATCGTGTCCATCTACAACTAGAAAAAAAATTTTAAAAATGCACACGTGGCTTTCCCACGTATATTTTTGACTACCATCCTTGACCTCAATATTATATCAAGTAGGCAATAAATATGGTTTTGCCTCCGGGGCTTATGATTAAATTGTTATGTATAAGGTTGGACTATAGCTCAGCGGTGGCTTGTCTGCCTAGCAGGCCAACACCCTGAGTTTGGTCTTTGGCACCACAAAAATTACAGTCGTGTAATAGATAAATATGCTGGGATTCAGAATAAGATGAGAAACTATCAAGCTGAAAAATCTATCCTAAAAGAAACTTAATAATCTATCCTAAAGGACCGGCAGCAGCCAACACCCAGCTCTCCATGCAGAGCACTTTCCTTTGTGTTCTTCCCTGTGAATGAAATTCTTAAAGCACCTCATCTCATGTTCCCCAGCAGAGCCTCCTCCCTTCAGGACCAAGACGTTAGCTAACTGTGCAACAGGCATGAGAAGATGCTGATGCCTTAAATGTGGAGTGGATCAGTGCCTACTGTTTGAATGTTGTTACCATGTATTAAATATACTCATAAAACAGTGATAAAAGACATTTTGGTAAGTTAAGATGAAATTAGAAAATTATTTATTAAAAAAGGAGATATATGATATACCACATTTTAACATTTGCTCCAAAGCACTTTCTGAAGTATTCGCCCAAGACATTTACATATTTTCAAGGTATGTACTCCTATTTAAAGCACAAAGTGAAAAATCAAACACTGTGGCTGCAAAGGTTTTAACTGAAGGGCGCTTCCAATATTTCTGAAAGCAACTTCATTACTACATTTTAGATAAAGAAAACTTCAACAAACATACACGTTTTAGAAGAACACATAGACAGGTTCCCCTGGTGTACTCTTCATGGGAAGAGCCTCTGCTAGGTGCACCATATCCAGGCCTCATGCAGATGGAGCTCAGTCAGTGTAGTGTACCTGTGGTCTCAGCTCTTGCTCCAGAGCACAACCGTGTCCCCTATCGTCTAATGTGACTCCAATTTGAAAGGCCCACTATGCCTAGGGTACTCTGGCCAGATGTTCTCCTCCAGGGCAGGTGGGGCTCTCTGGGTTCCATCCCAGAAGCCAGTCTTTGTCATTTGTTTTGCTTGTGTGTCCCTCCACTCTGGTCACTATTTAACTTGATCCAGCTTGTTGGACACACCACATAGGCCTTGGGATTCTTTCTAGCCATCCTGGTCACTGAGTGACTGCTGGAAGGGGTGTCGGCCATCAGGGCAAACTCTGCAGAGTGCCCATCTACCCTGCTGCAAGCCACTTTATATTACCATTGGGACCCACCTAACAACCCTACAACCTTACACCTTCCCTCTTTTACAGGAGTGGTCTCAAAGTCAAGGCTAATTCAGTACATCAAGACCCAACAGGACTGGAGAATGTGACTGAGCTTCTGTGCAAGCCTGATCTTCTAGCAGGAAGTCACCGACCTCCCGCACCATGCAGGCAGGTTGGCTGCCGGGCTTCCTGGAGCCAGGCACTGACAGATGGCAGTGCTGCAGACTCGCAACATGACCCACAAGCTGATGCAACTCCAAGGCCCAGGCCTCCCCAACTGATGCAACGCTAGTGTCCTGCTGGGAATATTTTCATTTGATTATTTCAGAACTCCAGATTCTCTGGAGTATGCTTTGTTTGCAAAATCCCTGTGGCGCTTCCGAGAGGACAGACTCCTTTCTAGTTGTTTATTCTATCTAATATTTGATTTCACATCATGATTTAGAATTTATTTTGTTCAACTATTCTAAGCTTTTGAAGTACTTTAGAAAAAGCAAGAAAGAAACTTTATTTAATGAGTTAAAAGGGATGCTTTTTAAAAATAGAATAAAAAAATCTCGAAACTTTACTTAAAAAGTACTCATAATAACTTAGAAAACACTCTAAGTGGGTTGTGCAAACAGTGCAAGCCAAGCTGTGTTTACACTGCACTTGGGCCCAGCACCAGATCACCTACCCAGAGAAGCAAGCATCAGATCATGGCACCTTATGCATCCGTCTGGCTTTCCCGTTACAGCATGACAGAACCAGGAGAAAACTGCCAAGGGAGCCCCTCCAACTGCTCAGGAGGAAAGAGGGGCCAGGACAGAAGCAGAGCCTCACCTCTCTGAGGTCTGATGATGAAGGACTGCGTGGCTCCGCTCACCAGCCGGCAGTACCCGTCTATTAGGTCCGCCATGTTCTCGGCGATGCTCAGGGATGGGGCTGTCACTGTCAGAGGCTGAATAGGAGAAAAACCAAGAAAGAGACACTATTGTTCTTCCAGCAACCAGAAAGACAGCTGCACTGACATCAGACCTCCACAACATGGGCCCGGCGGGGGTGGGGGAGAGTGTGTGAAATAAGGCTGTCCCAGACTGGACTGCGACAGGTAGGCTGCTAGTTAAAGACACCATTCCTTGGATGTGAGACACAAGACCACCCCAGGGGAAAAGAGGACAATCACTTCAACTGAAGCTCAGAAAATGGAGAAAAAAGGTGGGAAAATATTTTTCTTCAGAGTGTCTGGCTCCCCTAGCACATTCTGATTGGGGAAGAATTTAGATAATTGGTGAGCTGAAGTAAAACTTGTTTTAGAAGTGAAACTAATATGGTGTTGTCAATTTTTATTACTGTCCACCACAATTTTTCTAACATTAAACAAAATTAGTAAAATACCACTGTTTTCAGCATACATAGAGTGCTCTGCCCAAACATATAAAACTTACTCTTTTCAAATGTTCTATTTGATGAATTTCCTAAGACCCATCTTTAAGTGTTCTCTAGGTCACAATAAAAGCTGCATTTCATTTTCAAATCCAAGAACATCCTAATTTGGTGAGCACTCACGTCTCCTACCATGTGATGTGCCCCCCTCAAGCCATCACCCTGAACGTTACTAGGGGACAAGAAGGAACGGCTCGAAAATGATGCTGGAGTTCAGGCTTCAGGAAACTGCAGTTTGCAACAAGTTTTCAGTATTCTATGGGAGTATTTGTTAATCCTGATAATCAATAAACTACATGGCATGAACTCAAAACACCTTAGAGTGGAAGAGCAATGAAGTGAGCAGGGGAGGCCCAGGTGTTCACTCGACCATCCGCATGAGAGCACTCAGCCCATTTTGCAGAGGGTCATGCTACCTGGTGCTCATCCGAAGACTATTTCTGGTGACACTGCTTGCTTTTAATACACTGCAACATGGTGATTTAGAGTAAGGGGCATGGGTTTACCTGCTGCAGTATGAACACATCCCTGTCAAAACTAAGACTGTGGCCAGGCTGTGCCTCAGCTTCTTCATCTATGGTGTTCACCAAAATAAAGGTACCTACTTTGCTTGGTTGTGACACCATCACAAGCCTCATCAGCATGAGCCAGTGCTGCTATTATCCTGTCAGTACCCACAGCATATCACATACAACACAGGTTCACAGAGTAGACACAAAGACATAATTCCAAGAACTTGATTTCTTTGATGCTTTGTGATATCTTTAAATCATCTTCAAAACACTGTTCTTGATTAACTTAAAATTGGTCTCCTGTCCCTTGGGGATAATTATTAATTGAAAAGCAACCCTTATAAAAATGAGAAAGTTGTGACTCTGATGATCCATGAAAATTTCACCCTTATCCTAAAACACATCATTTCTAAACCGGTAGGATGCTTTGCTCTCCCTCCCAGTGCGTGCCAGGGTCCCTTACCTCGGGGGCACCTGCGATTTTGAGCTGTAGCATTCCTTTTCTGTCTTTGTCTTCACTGTTGGAATACTGAATGGTCTGCACTTGGTTGAAGTCAGCCAGATGTGTGGGCTTTGAAAAGGAAAGCACAAAACACTCTCTTCACCAGTTCTGTTGGATATTCTGTCAAATTCTGTGGCCCCAACTGCTAGCTCCTTCCTCTGAAGCCTCTCCCCAGTCTGGAGGCTGGGGAGCGCTGACCCTCCACAGAGCCTGCACAGCAGCGGGCAGTCAAAGAGCTGTCTCCTGCACTTCATATTCGGGACATGTCTGTCCTTTTTACTGTCCTGAGGATATCCACACGAATGAGCCGGTGAGGGGAGAGCACATCTCCCACAGAAGAGGAGGAAGCAGGAGCAGCCTCTGCTTTGACCCGCTGGCCAGCCCAGATGGGCACCTGCAAACTGGCTGGAATGAGGCTCTGAGGCACTAGAAGTTCTGCGGTGTGCTGGGGCAGGGAGATTGCAGGCAAGCAAAGGGCTCCAGGAGACAGTGGTATCCCAAAACCCCATCCTGCCCTGACTGGACTCCAGGACATTCAGAAGTGACTATGGTCCAGGTTTTCTTTTTGGAAAGACAAGACATACACAGTGTCTCCTGAACTCCTAGCACTTTTTGACTATGGTCGTTGTGCATGGTGATTCCTAAATGACTGGCCTAGCTATGGCCAGTTCCTTAGCATACCCAAGGTATCATGGAAGGTACCAAGGGCTTGAGCAGAAGCTGCTCTTCAGTAAGGGGCTCAAACTGAGTGCCCTCCCTCGAAAAGCATCTTCCTGATCTGTTTTCAGGGATGCAACATGTATAGTGTATACATTTCGTCCCTCTAGGCCCCCACTCTCCAGCCCACCATCTCACACTGTGCTAAGGTTTCCTTACTGGCTCCCTCACCCATGCCTGCCCCAACCTGGAAATCAGGAAGAAACTTCAAAAATGTAAAAGTCAGAGCCTTATACAGTGGTGTGCAACTGTGATCCCAGCTACTCGGGAGGCAGAGGCAGGAGGATCACAAGTTCAAGGCCAGCCTCAGCAATTAAGTCTCTGTCTCAAAGTAAAAAATAAAAAGGGCTGGGGATGCAGCTCATCCACTGGGCCCAGCATGGGCAAGTCCCTAGATTCAGTCACCAGCACCTCAAAAAATAAAAAATGAGTAAAAATGTAAATGAGATCATATTTCCCTAATTTAAAAGCTACAACCCAAGTGCCATAACTCCTGTGACATATAGGATGACTTCTGTGATCAGACACTCTGTGTGACATGACCCCCTCCCTGCCTCTCTGATCTAATTCCCCACCATAATCTCCTCAGTTGAAATCTGCTCCAGACTCGCTGGGGTAAAACCATTCCAGGGGGTGGGTGGCTTCTAGTGGACCAGAACCTAAGGCATGTAAATGATAACCAGGGCTGCCAAAGGTCACCAAACATGGCTTTCCCAGATCCTAGAGTGGGAGGCTGTATTCACGGCACTGAGCTGCCCAGGAACACACCTCATGTGTGTCCCAGGAATGGTACACTGCACTGTATTTGAAATTTTACTAAGAGGGGTCACTGTTGCCAGGGTCAGGAGTGTCTACAGTGTGTCTGTGTCAGTCTCTATTCATAACCAATGCACGTGCACATATAAAAGGAGATCTGAGACTCCTCTGATAGGTGGAGATACAAACATTAGTAACCTGGTGTGGCCCATGAGTTTTGAGTGCTATCTCAAATTTTTTTTTTTCTTTTTAAATTCACAAGTACAGTAAGAAATTCAGGGTATGGAAATGACATACTGGAATACTTTTCCTTACTTTTTTTCAGTCTGCTGTTTCTCCTTCTCACTCTGACATTCTCTCCCCAAGGGTTCTTCCCTACCACTCTCCAACCACGCTGCTATGGATTACTTCTGGTGGTCCGTCCTCTCTCAGATTCTAAGCAGGTGCACCTGACAATAATGCTGTCCAAAGTATTTCACATATCCAGACAAGTGCACTATTGAACCGTTAGGACCCAGGTTAAATCCCCAGCAAAACACACAAACATCAACACTCAATACCTCTCCAGATAAACTGGAACAGCCCTATCAAATTCTAACATACGTAAAACTTGTATGATTCATTTCCTTCCAAAACTAAAGAATTCTGAAGAAACTCAACAGGGGTCTAGGATTTCTCTTGTCTTCGCCCCTTTGAGCAAGAGGTACCACTCAATGGCAAGGCCTGATGTAAGGTGCTGCCTTTGCAGAGCAGCACCCCATCTCATTACCCTGACTCCTTTCTGCCTACAGTCTTGTTTGAGAGGCGTCACCGGAGCAGACTTACATTGCAGCCCTTGTCTGTTAGGTAACTGATCCCTTCTTCGGGGCCGATTGCCAGTTCCACTGAAATAATCCAGCTTGACTTTTGAAGTCAAATAGGTGAGGACAGAGGAATGGGAAGAAAAAGAAAGATTTTAGATCAAGAGTCATGGATATATTAAAGGAGGGGGCTGGCTGGCTTGGTTTGCAATTAACCTATCTAAAAAAAAAAAAAAAAAAAAATTAGAGAAAATATAACTTCACTGCTCCTGTCCTGAACCTAGAGAGGGACACAGTGTGGCCCTTCCAGCAGGCCACAACCAGTATTTTCTTTGACAACATGATCTGAATAGGCAAACAAGGCCTTGGAGAACAAATTGCAGGTTGGAATAAAAACACCTAATTATGAACACAGTCGGACAACTTCATTCTCACATTGATTATTTTTTTCATTTTCCCCACTATGAAGTGACAAAATAGTATTCTCATTTAAAAAAAAAAAGTCACAAATTAGTTCTTTGAATCTGAAATTTAAATACACATAGATAAGAAAAAGCAGAAGAAGCTGGGCAAGGTTGTGCATGCCTGCAATCCCAGCGGCTTGGGAGGCTGAGGCGGGAAAATCACAAGTCAAAGCAAGGCACTAAGCAACTCAGTGAGAACCTGTCTCTAAATATAAATAGACAGGGCTGGGGATGTAGCTCAGTGGTCAAGTCCCTCAGTTCAATCCGTGGTAACTCCCTCCACCAAAAAAGGAAAGAAATAGCAGAAGAAATCAAACTGGCCTATTTCTCCATGGTCCCATACTTACCCCCAGGGCACACTTGAAGCATTCTTTATCAAATCTGTACACTGGAGAGAGGATCTCAAAGAATTTCAGAATACTTTCTTCTCTATTAAGGTTGGCAAACTGTCTAAATGTTTGTTGGATCAGTTTTCTTAAAGTTTTGGCCTGCAAAATAAAATTACAAGAGAGTGTTTTAGAGTCAGCAATGAGTAAAGACTGCAGCAATAGTAAGATTTCTTCCCTGCCCACTACTTAATACTACTTAATGCATGGCAAGGTTGAGTACATTCAGGTACCACCTGTTCCACTGTTACCAAGGAAAATCAATATGGCTTTTTGAAGGGTATCACAAATCATCAACTTAAAAATCCTAATCTTTGATCCAAAAGGTAAAATTCGGATGTGAAGGCGATCTGGCCGAGACATCTGTCGTCCCATTGATTGATGGGGTTGATTCAGCTAGGCCAGTGTTCCTTCCTCCTTCGCGGTTGCATGTGTGTCCCTCCTGATGCTGTGTGTTTGGCCAAAAAGGACGACCTTCCCCGATAGAGGAGGACAGTCTTGGGTCAAGGGTATACAAGTAGCTGTGTCCCCCTGCTAGAACCTCCAAACGAGCTCTCCAGGACATTACTCTTTTTTTTTTTTTTTTTTTTTCCTATTTTGGTACCAGGGATTGAACTCAGGGGCACTTGACCACTGAGCCACATCCCCAGCCCTATTTTGTATTTCACTTAGAGACAGGGTTTTACTCAGTTGCTTAGTGCCTCGCTGTTGCTGAGGTTGGCTTTGAACTCACAATTCTCCTGCCTTCGCCTCCCAAGCCGGTGGGATTACAGGCGTGTGCCACTGCACTCGGCCAGGACATTATTCTTTATAAATGACTGAAGACAGATGCAAAGATTCAGCAACAAGGAGACTAGGGCAGGGCCGTTTACAGGGACACGTGGACTGGCTACATACTTCATGACGTATCCACCTACCCTACTGACATTCTAGATGGAACAGAAACTGCTTTGTGTAATTAATTTAATGATATTAAAATCCACACCATATTGTTATGCAACAGAGATGTCAAAGCTGTCTGCATGAACAGAACACATTCCCAGAAAAGAGCGCAGGGGAGCCTCCCATGGACTCGGGCTTGCCAAACATGCAGTCATGGGCACATGAAATGGCAAACAATCATGGTTTTTACCTTGGAGGGGATGATCAGTGGCCTCTGGTCCTCTTTTGCTCATTTGTGATTTCAGTTCCTACACATGAACATCTGGCTAGCAGAGCTAGTGCTTCCCAGGGGGAAACCTCAGCCCATGGTGTGAGAGGCAGCTGCAGAGGCCATGTGGTAAGGTCTGAGAGGGTGAGAGCTGCAGGCTGAGGTGGCCATGGTATGAAACCAGCTATCACCCTGCTGTGATGCCTACTCAAGAGCTTTGAGCAGAGGATGACCTTATTCACCTAGCTTTAACAGGGAAACTTGGGCTGCTATGATGTAAACAGCAGGAAAGGAACAGGAGAGACTGGGTAGGAGGCTAACAAAATAATCCAGGTGGGAAGTGACTGCACAAGTGTGGAAGCAGAAAAGGGGTGAGCAACAGTCAGATGCTGGTAGATAAGAGCTGGCATTGACCTGCCTCGGCTAAACTGTGGGAGGAGCAGATTGGCAGGTGAAGGGTGGGGAGAACAGTAGGAGAATATAAGAAATCCAGGCAGAGCTGTCTAGCAGGTCACCTTCAGTACAGAAGGAAAAAAAGCTGGGAGACTGGAAGGCAGGAGTAGGTGGAGACGGACTAGGTGACTCGCTAATCTCAGTGGCCTTGGGTAATGGCGAGCTGCAGTTGCTGAGGCTGGTACAGGTGAAGTAGGAGGGTGTGGCTACTTATGCAGGTGACAGCCTATCTGGAGGGTCTGGGTGGTCCCATGGGAGTCATGGGATTACTAACCTGGGACAACAACAGATAGTCAGTTGGGAAGACAGTAGTTTGTTCAGAGAGGGTTACACACAATGAGGGGCTGCAGCTGGTGAGATGAAAAACCAGAGTGGGAGGCTGAGACAGGGGAGGGGCACGACTGGAGGACAAGTGTCCTTAAGCAGAGTGAGGGTGCTAGAGGGTCACCGAAGGCAAGTGACTTGTGTTTAAGCGCTGGATCTGCTCTTGCATACAGAGGGAGAGAGAAGTACACTATCTGTGGCTGGCTGTGTGGGTGTGACTGTCCCCTAGAAGACTGCACCCTGTGGGTGATTCTTCTCTGGCCTGCAGTGGGCCAAAGGCAGTTTTCTCATTACAGAGCAACACATAGTACCCTAGAAGCTGCAGAATGTATACAGACTCTAAGAGCAGGTTCCTTCCACTCCAGAAAAAAGGCACTAAGGGAATTCTTTTGGGTGCTTGGCATTTGGAATACACTGAAGAACCAGGGCAGACACTTTGTTTCCAGAAATCTAGTGTAGCTGGAGAAAGCCTTCAACCTGTTGTCAAGGCCATATAGGACACTAAGAGTTTTGTGTGCACAGTGCTTGGAAGACAATGGCTAATACCATGAGATTGGCGCCAGAAAAGCCACACATCAGCCTGCCATGGATGTGAGTCCACGTCTTCACAATGACCCCTGCAAGACAGCTACTACTGTTCACAGATTAGCAAATGGAGACTCAGAAGGTTAGGTCAGGAGGCAAGGTCAGAAGAGATGGCTGCAAGTCCAGGCTGCAGGAGCTCTCCTCACCAGCTTGTCAGCAGCACAGGCAATGCCTACTCTAAGATGCTCTCCAACCTACATTGTGAAGAAATAACCACCAGGTTCTGCAGCCTCCCCTCACTCTGAATTTGATTTCTACAGCACTCTGGTAAGATCTTTGTGGGCAAGAAGCCTCTACGATGGCTGCCCACAGCTGAACTCAGCTAGATGCATCAGCCTGGTAAGCATGCGACTCTGCACCATGACTTGGATTCTGGGGGCCTGGTTCTCTCACATAGCTCAATGACACTGCCCGTCCTGCATGAGAGCAGGTAGACAGTGCAGACCTCCTCACTTCAACACTGTCCCAGAGCCCGCTGACGATGTTCGGATGAGAAGAAAATCTACATTAGCAAGCAGAAAACAAGTCCTGCAAAGGCCCTGGGGGCCAGACCATCTTTCCTGGCGTGGGGGATACCACAGATTAGAATGGGCAGCAGCTGTGGAGTGGAGGTCAAACAGGCACAGGGACCACAGTGCAATGGCTCTACTGTTCACATCAGTGGGAAGCTGACAATTGTTCCCAGCTCTAACCCAGATATGCACAGATGGGCAGAAATTAAAACTATGTAAACAACTCAGTTCTCTGCTTTAAACCTTGATATGGTTTGGATGTGAGGTGTCCCCCAAAGCTCACGTGTGAGACAATGAAAGAAAGTTCAGAGGTGAAATGATTGGTTATGAAACCCTGAAACTAATCAGTGCATTAATCCCCTTATAGGGATTACCTGTGTGGTGGCTGTAGGCAAGTGGGGTATGGCTGGAGGAGGTGGGTACCTGAGGCACGCCTTTGGGGTGTATACTTTGTCCCTAGTAAGTGGAGCTCTGCTTCCTGGTTGCCTTTCCTGAGCTGCTTTCCTCCACCACGCCCTTCTGCCATGAGGTTCTGCCTCACCTCAGGCTCAGAGCAATGGAGTCAGCCATCATCCCCAAATAAACTTTCCTCCTCCAAAATTGTTCTTGTCAGGTCTTTTGGCCACAGTGATGAAAAAGCTGACAAAAACAGAAATTAAGGGGTCAATGGAGGTGTTGCTGTGACTAACCTGACCAAGTGTTTCAGGAGCTTTTGAATCATTCTGGAGTTTCTAGGAGGAATTTTGAGATGCTTAAAGATGCAGGCTGGGAAAGCTTTGGAATGTTGTGATCAGAGCTTAACAGGCAATCCTGGTGGCAGTTCAGATGACCAGACTGCTAATAAGACAGTAAAGCCTGGACTTGAGAGGACTCTATTAGAATCTAAAGAAGTTGTCTGCACTTTGCCCATGTCCTGAGACTTCCTGTGAGGCTGAATTTAAAGGTGATGTACTAATTATTCTGGGGGAGGAAATTTCAAAGCAGCACAGCATTTGCAAGTAGTGTGAATGTTGCTGGTGGCTTTTAGCCAAGTTTGTTGTAATCATAAGAAGGGAGCTGAGCATGAAGTTTCGAAAAACTTTCAATTTGGCCACAAAAGTGGAAGTAAAACAGTGGCTAAAGAAGGTGTGGTTGCTAAGCACATTACAGCCACTGAAGAGATACTAAATACTTTACCCAGGGACAATGGGAATGATGGTTTGACAGGTCTCAGGAATTGGCCAGATCATCTGAGGCTCAAGGGAATAAAAGTAAAAAATCTTGAGAAGAGACCAAGGGGCGCACTGCTTGTACAGGAAGTCCTGGGAAGAGTTTTGCCGTGCTCAGGCACTTATAGACACTCAGAGGCTGCTGCAGCCAGGGTCCTGGAGGCTGGGCTGCTATTCCAGATAGCAGCAGACCTTGGTATCAACCACATGGTGCTGGTTCTGCAGGAAGGCAGTTGCTGGAGTTAGGGGGTCATGAGACTTTCACCAAGATTTCAAAGGAAGGCCTGGGGGACTAGGCAATGCATAAAAATATAAGGAAGCCAAAGCTGCAGTGGACAGACCCCCCTGAGATTCAAAAATGCCAGTATCATGGGACATCTGCTGAGGAAAGCTGCAGGAAATAAATAGAAACAAGACAAGAGAGAGGCCATGTGGGCTGCAACTAGCAAGGCCACATGGGTGAAGCTACACAAGCCTACTAGAGAGAAGAGCACCATGCCCTGTGGCATGCCCCAGATGCTGACTGTTGGAGCTACAAAAGTTGTTTGCCCAGCTGGATTTCATTCTTGCCTTGTTCTCATCCCATCCCTATTTTTTTTTTTTTGGTACTGTAGAGTGAATCCAGGGCTGCTGAAACACTGAGCCACACTTCCACCTTCATTCTATTTTATCAGAAATTACAACTACTCAGCCATGTTAAAACAGCAAATAATTTCTTATTCATCAACCGAGTCTCACTGAGCTATTTAGGGCCTAAGTTGCTGAGGTTGGCTGTGAACTTATAAACCTCATGCCTCAGTCTCCCAAGCCACTGGGATTACAGGTGTGCACCTCTATGCCTGGCTTCGTCCCTTCTTTCTATGCCCCTAT